ATAAAATATTTTTATTTTTGTTACCGGGGCCCCGTTTGTATGTTCGTCCCTATTTTTAGGGGCACTTGTGTTTTTTTATCTCATTTCAGATGCCTTTCCAAGAAAATTGCTTACCAAGTGAGTACCAAGAACTACTTCCACAACCCGTAGGAGAAAATTGGTCAGACTAATTGATGTACCAAGACACTAAAATTATTGGCATACTGCTAAGTAATATGTATAAATCTTTTTTCTTTATATTTTCTAAACCGCTTTTTTTATTTCAGGATTACAGAATTAATTTCTTTTCGCACCACAAAGCACCAGGACTTCTAAATAACTGCCAGGGGGATATGCATATTTAAAGGTTTTTATCCTATTATTGTTAATTTAATCTTATTATTAGTTATGAATATTTATTCTTTTATTAATATAACCGGGGCCCCGTGTATTTGTTTGCCCCTATTTTTAGGGGCATTTGTGTTTTTTTTTCCATTTCAGATGTCTTTCAAAGAAGACATTGTATTGTATGTCGTCTATATGTTTTACCAAGATATACACGAACCACCAAGAGACCACTACCGAATTAAAGGATATGTACAAGTGGGTACCAACAATTACTTCTGCAACCCATACGAATAAATGTAATGAAATTCTATGTTTACCTGTTTTTAGGTCTTGCACGAGATTTGGCAGAAAATAACATCAACTCAAAACCAACTAGCACCACTACTACCTGAACTACCGCCTACAACTGAATTGGATGATATGACATAATCGAAAGGAAAATTAACTGTGAGATAAAACTTTCTATTATTATAGTAGTATTTAGTTAATATCAGGTTAGGGGACGTTTTGACATTTAAATCTTCGGTCGTACTTTTTTTCTGGTTGTTCGCGTACTTTTATTCAGAGCTCAAAAGGGTGGCGTCGTGAAAGAACCTCTCTTATATTTTTCGCGCTTTTTTTTACATTAATTAATTAATTATCATTTGTCCTTAAACTTCATAGGCTGGGAACCTATGAAGCTTTTTTCCAGCGTTTACATGGTGGATCTGGGGGGTACATCATGTAAATGCTCTTTTTTTTATAAATTTACAATCACCGCTAAAATACTAAAGTACACATTTTATATTGATTTTTTTCTTCACCACGAGAGGTTCTTTCATTTTTAAAAACCGAAATTTTTGGGTACATTAGGTCATTTCGCGGGGGTTCTTCTTTTCGCGATATATTCGGGTCAGTTAGGTATAATTAGTATGTAAGTTAGTTTAAGTGGATTAGGGCTGCACAAATCGATACTTAGTAGTATTTACACTATATCCATTTCCATCTGAAATGTTAGAAACGTAAATATGAATAGAAGTATCTATTTCTGTGGCGACACCACATTAAAAAAAACGCGCCTGGCAACTCTACCCCATGGGTGGTGAGGAAAAGAGTTGCATCCTATTAATAATATTTAATTAATTATGTTAATTAATAAACATAAATGTGTCAATATATGTGTGTGCATCACTGATAATTAACTAATATCGAAATATCTTAAAATAAAATTTTTGCAAAATAATCTTTGCTTTTTAATATGTGGTTTATGTTATTTTTAAATTTTTTTTTTCAGAACTTCATAAAGAATTATTAGATGCTTTCAGAAAGAATATTGTCAATAATTATTAATTTTGAATTAGTTGAAAAAATACTATAATTACTACAATGCAAAGAGTTATATGGTTTTTGATAAAATATATTTTATCTCTTTGCATTGTAGTATGAATATAGTATTTTTTCAACCTCTAATTCAAAATCAATAACTATTATTCTTTTTAAAAGCATCTAATAATTCTTTAGTATATGTGAGATTTAAAACTTTCGTCAGAATTAAAAATAAAATTTGAATTAATTTCGATATACACAGAAAAAATGTTTTTGAAAAAAAAAATTTGAAAAAAAAAATTGAAACAAAATGTTTTTTTCCAAATTACTTATTTTGTTAAAATAAGTAAAAAGTTCTTTGAATCATTCAAATCGGACGCTTAGTCCTCTCAAAAACTTTTTCGCACCATTTTTTGCACATTTAGCCTGGGTATCTCCAAAACGCTGGACCTGCCTTTGCCAAAAGTTAATTACCACTTCTCCCCATCATTACAAATTGAATGTTTTCTAGATCATTCAAATTAAATGCTCCGTTCTCTCAAAAACTCGATTTCTATTTTCTGCACTCTTTGCTCCGTAACTTCGAAATTACTATAATTTACCCAACGCAAAGTTAAAAATTATATCTAAATAATTTAAAATAAATTGTTTAATTAAAAAAGTAAAATTTTGTCTATTAAAAAGGGCGCCTGAACGGATAGGGCCTAGGGCGGCAGAAAGCTTAATCCGCCACTACATATATATACATATATATATATATACATATATATATATACATATATATACATACTTATATATATATATATATATATATATATCCAATAATTGGAACAATTTTAGTGAAGAAAAATGTTTTTATTGTCAAACGTTTCGGGTCCTGATTTGACAAAAAAAAAACAGAAAAAATATGATACACCATGGTTTTTAAATGGGATGTGTTTCTAAACACATCTTTTTCTTTCCATACGTTTCGACGTAAAATTCTACGTCATCATCATCAATGTTTTTGAAATTCTTATGCAATTGGATAATATATACATGTAATATGCATATTATCCAATCATCCTTATTAATACTAACTAAAAATATACTAACAATAAAAAAATTGTTTTTAGTGGCATGCGAAGTGTTAGTTCATAACCGGCATAACCAATCATGAAAGTGAATAAAATCATCGTATGAATTTGTGTGGCCTATCATGGGCCAAACGGCTTATCGAATTTGAATACTGCGAAGTATCCAAAATGTGCACGTTGGTACACATAATCATATTTTGTCTACGGTGGTCACCCTGGTGGTCACTTGTATATAGCTAAACATCGACATGTTTGCAAGCTTTTGACAGTTCAGTTTAATTTTTTTATAGTCCGTAGGATATAAAATGTGTTAATGTGTATGATGTTGTAGTCTATTATAGTTAAGTGAATTATACGGCAGTACGATTTCTAAAACAAGTTTACAAAATGCCATCGACAAATATTGAACAAATTTTCAACATATATCTGCACAAAAAGAATTACAATCCTCATATATCAAATGTTAATAGAACACTGAGAGAAATTATCATGAATTGTAGTTTTGAATTAGTCCAGGATGATATTGAATTTGATTGGGACGATTTGAATTGGATTTTAAAAAAGATAAAGCTTTGGTTTGATAAATCTCTACATGAATATAGCATAAAGAATACATTGTATAATTCATTTATACATTATTTAAATAGTGTAATCCATGTCTTTTGGAAATATAAGCAACAGAAAGCTATTAATAATAATTCTCAAGTAAAAGATATTCTGCAGCTAAAATGGAATCGCGATGGAAATCTAAGCAAAGATGAAAGACTAGTTTTATGTCTAGATATAAGTTTATGTGATGTGCATAATATTGTGCTGTATAATAATGGTTACAATGCACTCTCTATTGCCGTTAAAGACCAAATTAAGCTTTGGAATCACCCTCCATTAAGTGTTCGACAATTAGTTAATTGGCCCTACATTGGTTTCACTTTAAACTTACCTGATATAACAATTGAACACCAAGCAGATCATATATTTAGTAGATATGTATGTCTACAGAATTGTGATGAGATATTAAAATATAGTAAAAAATGTAATATATCTAATACTAATAGACATATTCCACAAAATAAATATTGTAATGTTGAATTATTAACAATGTATTTAAGTCTTTGTAGACAAGCAATTTTTAAAAATAATAGTATCAATGAAAGGCATAAAAAAGAATTGTCAATCTTGTTTGAAACTATTATTATGAACATAGCATTTTGTAATGATAAATTGTTCCCATGTAACGTAGACAATTCTTACCCCAGCACTAAATATAAATTTACAAGAGAAAATGCCTGCTCATGTGAAATAGATGATGCTAAAAATGAATCACACAAAATAATTGAAATAATTGAACCATCTTTCAAAATAAATGTAACACGATGTATGTTTGATGAAAAAACAATTCAAAATACAGTTTTTTATTTATGTGATGAAAAAGATATACGTCACCAAGAGTTTATAAATCAAGTTAATAAAGATATTTCATATTGTTGTTTTTATTGCAATATGAAATTCAGCGAGTCTTCATTCTATGCTGTGGAAAGTCACATACATGATGTACATGGATGTGATGATATTCCGTGGAAATGCATGGGTTGTAAGGAAAGTTTTAGTACATATGATTTAGCTACATATAATTGGAGACACAAATGCAAATAAATGTTTATGAAATGCAACATTTGACTTTTTATTACACATATTTATATAAAAGTAGGTGTGTTTTAAAATCATAAATATAATTTTTGTATTCTATCATAACCTTCAGTCATTGGTGTATCGGTGATCATTCATTACACTAAATATTTTAATATCGTGAAAATTAATTGACTGGAATTGCGGCTTGGTCCAATTAAAAAGAAAGCCTGGAATAATTCCTTCTACAAAAGTTAATAGATCTTGATTATTATTACACATCCATGGTTTTATTCGCGGCCATGTCTAGTGCAAAGTGCAATCAAGATGTTGTAGTCGAGTGCAGTGACAGTCAAGCAAAGTATGCGTCGAATTGACAAATAAAAGGTATCGCAAAATTTACAAAAGGTAATATTATTTTTCAAAATTTATAAAATAGATTTTTTAAACATCTTTACATTTTCATAGAGAACTTAGATTTTAACAGTATTTACATTGCAAAGATTTACATTTTGTTATGTTAACCTAACTTTGTTAGTTAATAGTTTAACTGTCAAATCCTGTTAAACAGTTACATGAAAATTTTTTAATATTTTTTTAATATTAGATTAATAATTTTGTTTGCAAACCATATTGTTTTCAAATCCTGTACTTTGAAAGTAGTCATTTGTATGATTTTGTTTTAATATGAATTTCTTTTTGTGTTCAGACATCAATACCGCTATTTGAAAAGCTATTTTTTGTAATATCATCTGTCGTAAGTGACAAATTTAATATAAAAAAATGCAAGTTGATTGGATGTGGCTACATTACAAAACATCCGTATTTAGCAAAAAAAAGTCATTCTGAAGAGAAATATGTTTAAAAAAAAAGTAGTTTGAATTTTCTTTCTTTTTTTTCACCTATGAAATAGTTGCAAAGTGAATTCTTTTGAACAAAAGTTTAAAATCATAAATTTTAACATTTTAGCAATCATTGGGCAAAGAATAAAGAGGCAGAAAATGATTTGTAGTAATCGGTATTGCTCAAATAACATGTTGCGAAGAATGTTATTTTTAAATAAAAGTATGGCATCGCCGTATAGAAAGCCATTTAAATCCAGGCTGCTGCCTGAAAATTTTAAAGCAAACTATGTGATAATGAATTTATATTCCTGCTCAAGAAATAATTATATTTTTTCCAAAAATGTAAGTGATAAATATAATTTAGTAAAATTAAGTGATCATGCAATACCGATCAGTACACAAAGCCATTCTGATACTACAATTACTTGGTATAAAAATGTAGTTACTGAAATTCATAAATCACCATATGTAAGATTAATGAGAATAGATCGACCAATTGGTAAGTTTGCAATGTAATTATAATTTTATTACATATAATTTATGTCATACCAGAAAATTGTAGGTACTTGGTTGTTATATTGGCCTTGTGCATGGAGCATTTCTTTAAGTGCCCCGGCTGGAAGTTTTCCTGATTTTTATCTGCTCTCTGTGTTTGCTATTGGCGCATTTATAATGCGTGGGGCTGGTTGTACTATTAATGATATGTGGGATAAAGATATTGATGCAAAAGTATGTTTCAAATATTGTCTTCCATGTTTATCTTTATGTATATATATATATATATATATATATATATATAAAGATATATATATATATATATATATATATATATATGCTATGTCTGTATGTGTATATATATAAATGAATTATTTAAGGTGCAACGTACAAGAAGTAGACCATTGGTATCTGGGGAACTCACAACTTTTGATGCTTTAATTTTTCTTATAGGACAATTAGGCATTGGCTGTGCTGTACTTTTGCAACTAAATATGTATTCTATTGTTCTAGGAGCTAGTTCATTAGGTATGTGTAGATTATTTTACTTTATTCCTTTAATTATATTCCTATATATATATATATATATATATATATATATATATATATAAATAATAATTTTATAAGAATCCACGAATTTCTATTTTTTTTTAAGTATATCGTTTGTTTAAATCTAATTAAGATGTATAGTAAATATGAATATTAGTAAAAATTGAAAAAAAAAATGACAAAGACAGTACTTTCTTTGATAATATTTTAATTTAAGATTTGTATGTATATATATATATATATATATATATATATATATATATTCTGTTTATTTAGTTATATTTTTATTTTTTTTGTTCATATTTAGCTTTCAATTTCACTTTTTCTGTATGTTTCAAAATTTTAGAACCACTGATGACGATATAGAATTTTATGTCAAAAATATAAAGCAGAACAATTGATGTTATAAAAAACATTACATCATTATTTACAATTTTTTACTTGATACGGCCTCCAAGAACTTAATTATATATATCGACAAATCTAACTTTTCTCAACACACACACACACACACACACACACACATATATATATATATATATATATATATATATAAGTTATTGAGGGTGATTCATCAAACAAAGAAAAGGCAAAGATTTATAAAACAATTTTTAATTCCAAACGTTTCTATATACAATTTAAATTTAATTTTGAACATGGTATTTTATATCTAAAAATGTGTCCACATCACAGAATTTTGCACGAACATTGATACAACTAACCAGTCAAAAATCATGAATTTTTGTAATTAGAAAAATAATGAGAGTTTATATGTATATATAATAATATGAGAGAGAATATATATATATATATATATATATATATATATATATATAATAAACTTTTATTCCATATAAAAAAACTAACATTATTATAAACCATCTAACAATTATTCTTATATCAAAAATAAATGAAACTTTCCATATAAGATCAATAATACTATATAGTAAAGAACTTTAGTCAACAGTTATAACCTTAGTTTGCTTAAAAACTAGGTAATAATCAACAAATTGTATGTCTAAAGTATCAACTCATAATTATTAATATGAAAATAACGTCAATTAAATGTTAAGTACTTAAAATCTAAATTCATAGCGTCAAAAACATAAATGGCAAGTAACAAGTACATAGTTCTTAATTCATAATATCTGGAAGATCATAACAAGCTTTAACTATATACTTGCCAAAAATATATAAGGAGGTTCAAATCATTGAACTACAAGAAGTAAATAGTATCATCTAAAGATGGATTAGGAGCCCTATGAAGGGATTGCCAATCAAAAATGCCAACTTATGGGCATATTGACAAGGAGCAGGAACGCGGGATGTTCCTGACCAATTGTAGTACATGTGAGTTAACTTGTACGTAAGTCTCTGCATTTTGTCAGGAGGTAGCCCAAACAAATCATCAATAATATTGTAAGAAACAGGTGATACTGTACCATCTCTGACTGTCTGACTGACGAGGTAGAAGTCATACCGTTCAGGCAAAGTAATTATATCATCTACGACCGTGCCAGGTTCAGGATTTTTAGCATCAGCTGTAAATATGCGAGTATTTAAGCGTTTGCTTACAATGACGTAAGCCATCTTAGGGGAAGTGCCCTTATACATATCACGCAACATAACCTTCATTTGCTTGATTTCTTGGTTGTAAACATATTGGAGTTGTTCATCACCTACACCATCTCGATAAAATATGATTCTTTGTGGAAAAGCTCCATTAACAGAAGCAAACTTGTGAAGAGCCTTTGTAACATTTACAACCAAATCATCAGCAAGTTCTTGTCCTGGCTGTTGAACACTGATCGCTGAGAAATATTTTGTCAAATTCTGATCCAATGAGGCAACCGTTGCACCATAAGAACGTGACTTACTTTGTGTGTCATGGCATACATCAAAACCAATCACCATTAAACCAGATACAGGTATTTCTACCGACCAAGGTGCACCACCCACTTTGCAACTCATCTGAATTGCAACTTTTGTAGCTATTGACATAACACCACGAGATGTTAGATTTTTGCTCAAAATAACTTGAGTTGGCACTGCACGGTCCACACAGGCTTTTTTCTTAATGCCCGAATATCTGTCATTCCTGTTATTAGGCACAACACACATTATTATATCTGGATTTCCAGAACCCAATATTCTTTCTAGTTCATCAACATAGGTTGAAGTCCGATCATCACGCACATCATTATAAATAGGATTGGTTATTGTCACTTTCATGGCTGTAGATGATTTCTGCAAGATCTTGACAAATTCGAAGATATCTTTCCTGAAGTTTGTCGGGAAAGCCACATGCCATGTACGAATAGGAACAATATGCAATAATGGATTCGATCGCACATCTTTTATGCAATCTAAATTACGTCCTACAGGAACCTTGACTGATCCCAGAATTATAGTTTCATATGGATACTGATAGATCAATTAAGTTATTGTTTAATTTCATTTGCCAGGCAGAATGTTCTTGTTGAGTCTCAGGAGTATTTCTCAACCTCTGATTGAAATCCAAAAGTTTTTGGATTCTGTTATCAGGACTAACACGCGTATGTTCAGCCAAGGAGCTCATAAGCTGATTATTGTTTTTCATCTGATCAGTCAATCCAGTAGTTTGACAGAGTTCTGGAACTAATGCCTGAGGCTTGGCAAGTCCAGACCTAATGTCCTTATCAGTAGATCGGCTAATAAGCATAGGTTGGGATTTGTCTCTTATTGGCACACCATATCTATCCTTATAATATTGCATAAAAGAAATGTCTTCTCCTGTACACTTCTTGAATGTTGATGCAGGGCTCATGTTCCAATCCACACCAGCAACTCGATAAGTTTTATTACTATAGTCTGTCGAGACCACAGTACCCATAATGTTTCTTTCAAATTCTTCTCTGAAGTTTGCAGATCTCTTACAGTCCATAAGAGTGTCATGAGCAGTGCTTAAACGCATTACTTTATGGGTAATTTCACTGCACATAAGGATTCCAGTTTCATGCTGTGTTATAGATGTAACATAACCAGGCCACAACTGTAGCTTATGTTTAGGAATGTTGATCTTAGCTAATGCATCAAAGTAATTGCGACCAACTAATTGAAGTTTCAAACCTTCAAAACATTTACGCATAAGGATATTGAAGAATTGAAGATACTGATAATCTTCTGCAGTTATCTGACTCGCCAATTTAATTTGAATCAGAATTTGGCTGCTATCAGACTTTCTGGTTGAAGTCAATTCAATTGGATCAGGATTCAATCTGTGCGAACAATATAAAACAGTTCCATCAAAAATATATCCTCCGATTGTGTTTTTGTGATTTGCTAGTAAAGCTTTTCTAACAAAAGTCCGGTCCTCCTCTGGCGACATATCAACTCTATATTGATAGAGACACCAATTTGTCTGATGAAGTAGGCGGAAATAATTAGCTTTTAGTCTAACAGGACGACCAGTAGTACCTTGTTTGACGGTAATGGTATCTGGTTTAGTACGTATAGTATCCAAACTAGTTGCCAAACGGCCTCCTCTCATTGATCCTCTGCCAGCACTTGTGGGTACATCTCCACCAACAGTACGCACACTTTTAGTATCTTTACTGCTTTCAAACCCTTCAGGGTTTGCGTGTCAATGCTCTACCAGTAGCTTGTTGCACAGTAGGCACACCAGGTCTAATAGTTTCACCACTAGGTTGATAAACAAGAGCCGTTTGTTGCATTGGGGGTTGACGCTGCTGCGGATGGCTCATTCCTGGAGGAGGTTGTGCCGTCTCTGAAAAGCGTTCAGCCAAGTCATATATATGTATATATATAGAGTAGTATATATATGGGATATATATATAAGATATATATATATATATATATATATATATATATATATATATCACAAAGTGATCAATTTGGAATGACTTCTCATCGTAGAAAACCAAATTCGGTAACTAGCCACTTTTGTGCAAGCGAAGCAACTACTTGGTTCCTGGAACAGTGCACACAATGCTATGCTACCAATAACATTAAATATAGGAGGGCAATATGTGCTCCTCCTACTTCTTGTTTGTTAATATAATAGCATTTTATTATTTTACACAAATTTAGTGTTCAATCAATTTTACATCATAATTAATGTTTCCTGTTTTTTCCTGGTTTGATTACTGAATGATGACACACATCAAGTGTCGAAACGTTTAATGGAATAAATAATTTTTGTTATTTAATCTTTTTTTTAATTCGACGGTTGGGCTGCAAAAATATTACATATATATATATATATATATATATATATATTATATATATATATATATATATATATATATATATATATATGAAGAACACAATACTCAGATTTTTACACACACTTTATTTAATAATTACAGATGTTTGGAGACCTATATAATATTTTATTTAAATTATATTTGATTTTTGAAAATCAAAATACACTAACTATCTCTGACAATGGTTGACACAGTACTAAACATGTGAATATATACAGAAATATTTGAAAACAAATCTTAAGCACCGAACATCTTTGAAATCTGAGTGTTGTGTTGTTCACATTTATCATTTAATATTCATTCCAATCATATCACAAAATTCTATATATATATATATATATATATATATATATATATATATTTAAATAATTAATATATATAAATATATATATATAGATTATTGCAATGTATCATTTTAGGTCTTGTAGTAATTTATCCACTCATGAAACGCATTACATATTGGCCGCAGCTTGTATTAGGAATGACTTTCAATTGGGGTGCACTTTTAGGGTGGGCTTCTGTGGAAGGATCTGTGAATTGGCACGCTTGCCTGCCCCTTTATTTGGCTGGTATTTGCTGGACAATTATATATGACACAATATACGCACATCAGGTACAAAACTTAGCATGATGTTTAAAAGTTGATTTGTATCACATTAATTGGTTTTAATATTCAGGATAGGATAGATGATATCATGTTAGGTATAAAATCAACAGCAATTAGGTTTAAGGGTGATACAAAATTGTTCTTGAGTGGCTTTGCATCTGCCATGATGGCTGGTTTAGTTACTTCTGGGTTGGCTTGCGATCAAAGTTTACCGTATTATGCAACTGTAGGACTGGTTGCTGCACATATTACAAGACAGGTACGATGAATAAATAATTGTAGAGTATATTTTAAAATGTTGTCTATTTAATGCTAAAATATCATTATAGATATACAAACTGGATATAAACAACTCTAGTGATTGTGCAACAAAGTTTATTTCAAATCATCAGATAGGATTATTGTTATTTTGTGGTATAATTTTAGGAACACTTATGAAAAATAGAAAATCTAACAATGATAGCAGTATAGTTCCTATAAAGGAATCAATAAATAATGTTGTTTAGTAAATAATAGTGATATTTTTATTTAATTATGATATTAGTATTGATTACAATTTTTGTGTCGATAGTCAACTAAAGAAAATTATTGTGGATATTGCATATTGCAATAGAATACCACGAATGCATGTTATTTTAAAATGAAATAATTACATTTGGTGATTTTTTTATTACTCTCTTGGGTAAGAAGTATGATTGATGTGTAAATTATGAACAATGTATTTTTAAGCCTTTTAGATTATTATTCTGGCATGATTAATGATTGATAAATCAATTAAAAATCAAAATAAATCAATAGTAAGTAATTATATGTAGCAATACGCAATCCCTTTTGCAATATATATAGTTGCAGCAAGTTTACATTTATTCTGTATCGAAGGGTATTTATTATGAACAAAATTATTACTTCATTAGTGTCTGAATCTGTTTTAAAATCTTTTACATATATTTGCCTTTTTTCATAACAATAGTTTGGCTCGGAGCCATAGTGGGGCATGGTGCATGGTGCATGGGGCACGCGAATGCGCTGACAGCATTTTATGCTTACATTTACATTAAAAGCCGAAAACGAAACCAAAACTATATGTACATATAGCAAAGCGATGTCGTCCGTCTCGCTCGCGCATTGCAATAGCAGTAATCAGTCAGTCGGGTCTAGAACGTTATAGGCGCCGTCAGTGTAGTGTTGCGTGATGTTTTGGTTGACCTTCTTATTTTTCTCGAAATACCATCGCGAATAATGCAGATATTGCTGAGTTTTCAGCCTCTTTTCAACTGAATATATGAATAATACACGTTTTGACGAGATTCGAACCTATACTCTGAACTGAAACGATAGAAATTTGCGCAACCTAACCTTAAAGTGCCAAAATTGTTTTCAATCAAGCGATCCGTCAGTTCAGTGACTATTTCAATAACAATTTTCAACAATTCAAGTGCTCTTTTGCGTGAGTGTGTGTTAGTGTTAGTATTAGTATCAATATATTAATTGTTCATACATCTTTGGATTATTTCATTATATATTTAGGTAAGCAAGTAATTCATATTTTTAAAGATGTCAAAAATTTTACTTTAAAGAAATTATTTCATGTTGCATAATTAATTCATTACTTTGACACTGAAGCTGTCATTGGCTTTTATGCATTTAACATTTAAACACGTATATTTAACCAGATTGTTTTGATTTATTCATATTATGGGTTAAAATTAAGCGTTTAAAAACATTTCATGTATTCGCTTGCGTCTTATGGTCGTATTCTTTCTTCAAATAACGTATAGCTGATTTCTTCGAATGAAATTGGGTTAAGAAACATTTGTGTAAAATGGCCGCACTAAAATTTACAATCAATTCAGTGAGCCCGCAGCGAAATCTACATTTATGTGTTTATATAATATAATATTATACGATTTCATTATATCGCAACACTTTTCTATTTACAATTATATTGTATTGACAATCGTAATTATGAATGTAGACAATGGAATCGAACGCGCTTTCTTTTAATGTTTTTATATATTCAAGGTCTTAATATTTTGCATTGCTCAACAAAAAGTATATATGTAAGATTAGACATATGGTTCATAAGGCATATATATATATATATATATATATATATATATGCGCGCACGTATCTATTTTTCAACTTTAACACAAATTAAATACTTCGTCAAAATCAAGTATTAAAATTTAAAATAGGTACAAATATATAGAAATGTATTGAATGTATTAATGCATATTGGATGTATTTTATATATTAGGATTTAGTACTATGTGCAGAAGAACCCCAATTAAGGTAAAATTAATAAAGTAGTACCAGCAGGATTGAAATAAGAAGAATGGTAATCGCAAGAAAAAATTGAAATAAAAGATAATTTTTTACTTAAAGTAATCTAGATCATGACCTAATTTCATGGATATCACGCGTTTGTTGATAAATAACTTTGTTTCATATTTGTATTACACATTATGAGAAATTTTATTATAACTAACTAGAAGAAATTTTGTTATGAATGAGTTATCTTAAAACAGAAAATTATGATAATTTAACGTTGTTTGATTAAATTGTTTGTTTTCAATGCTCTTCTTTAGATACATTTGAAGTAAAGGATTGCATTATTAACTTCGCGTAGTAGAGTAATCGTCCAAAAATCGAAATTGAAATTTTTTGCATATCTTCACGTTTTGAAAGTTTCTAAACATTTTGGTATACCTTAGAAAAAATTGATGTATGCGTATGTATGAATACAATTTTTGGTCAACGTTTTCGGGCGCACGGATCAACCGATTTGAATTGGTAGAAAATCATTAGATTTCTATTGATAGGGAGATGTGCTGGTTAGTTTTTGGCAAAGGCATGTCCAGTCGTTACGGAGATACAGAGCAAAGAGTGCAGAAAATAAAAATCGAATTTTTGAGAGAACGGAGTATCCGATTTGAATGATACAAAAAACATTCAATTCGTAATGATGGGGAGAAGTGGTGATTGGTTTTTGGCAAAGACAGGTCCAGCCGCTTCGGGGATACCGAGCTAAATGAGCAAAAAATGTCATTTTTTTTTTCATAAAAAAATTTTTTTTTGTATATCTAAAATTATTCAGATTTTAATTTTAATTCTTGTTAAAGTTCTAAAGCACACTTATAAATAAATTAAACATTAATTAATAATAATAATTTAATAAACACTTCAAATAAATAATTTTAACTTTGCAATTCAGTTTATATAATTGTTATAAATATTAGACAATGTTACAGTTTTTATAATAATATATTTGAAAACATTTAATATTCCTCGAACATTTCATTACTGTACGGGAAGTTCTAGCAATTTGCCTTAAGGCACGATGCCATACACAACTAGTTTATTTATTTGGCTGATCATCTGCATGAGATATAAAATCATTCATTCAGAAAGTACTGAAGATTAAATTACGAAGTGAAAAGTGCAACATGGCAAAAACGAAAAGGGAAATAAGATGATTTCATTTATTACTGGACCTCAAATAAATTATTAGGATACATTCTTTCAATTCATCTGCAACGAGGTTGTTTCAGTAACTTTCTTGCTAGGCAATTAGGGAGTTCAGTTAGGCTTTTTCTGTATTTTTGATTAGGCCTCTGTATCTATTCTTTGATGGTGTCTACTAATAATTTACTTTGATAGGGGTATATTTAGGTACGTTGACAATTTTCCTAAGCATTTATTTTGAAATATTTGCAAAATCTCTATGCTGAAATGACAAGTTGCACCCCACAGTTTTACGCAGTATGTCCAGATAGGTTTCAGTGGGATAAAATTATGGAATATAATTAGAACATAAGGCCAGTCAACGTGTAATATTATATCTATTATAAAATACCACATTGTATTATATTAGGTATAAAAACACGAATAAAACAGCACTAAACTAATATAGCGAATATTTGAGCATATCAGGCTTCTACAAGTTAATCATTTATGCATTGAGAATATTGGGCTGATATTTTTCAATATTTTGACAGGGCACTCTCATTGAACAATATATAATAAATTGAAATAATATTTTACATCTTTTTACTTACTTTTCGAACATTTTTGTAAACTCGATTAATATTGGTTGCTGGATGATTTTCTGGAGTTTATTCTAATCAGTTTCTTGTTTTAGAATTTTGTTTTATGTCTTCTGATTGTCTTAAAAAATGTAATGTTTTATATTCGATTTCGAAAAGGTTAAAACCGTTGGTAAGTATGGTTAAAATCAGGTCAACTTTAAAAAAGAAAGATTTGCACGTATTTTCACATAGCTCGCCATATTATACAAGTATATTGGACATTAATACTTCTCATTACAGTCTTTGTTCGATCCCAAATTAATGAAAAAAATCAATATGATATTCAATAATCAATAAAATAAAATTCAATTAATTTTTTTTTTTAATTTGAAAGTCATTTAATTAACGCATTTAAATTAGTAATGAGAAGTTTTGAAGCTTCTTTTGAAGAATATCAATAAAAATAGTCTAGTTTAACATATTAAATTTATGCTAGTGCAACAACTTGGTCTTTAAAATGTCATTTTAGACACTCAATGTGATTACATTTTTATAATTCCTCTTTTTTCGTAAAAAAGAAACTTTGCTTTTGGTGCTTAAATATTGTCAATTACTCGCGGTTTCAGGAGAACTCAGATCGAATCCCGAACGAGTACTTCATATAAAAATAAATTTATACAGACTCAAATAAATCGACATACTGGAAAATTGTGCTTAAAGAATAAAGTAGTATTGTAAGCGGCCGAACGTTCTAGTTTTCAATGCCAATAATAAACATAAATAAAAAAAGATTGAATTAGATTAAATAACTTAATAAATAAAAATATTTTAGGTGTCGAAGTGGCAGCCACAACGCAACCATGTGATGACCATCGTGTCAGATTTGTCATCTCTTTGACGATCACGGCTAATGGAATATCGCCCTACAAATCTTAATATTTGCATTACGGCATATTTAAATTTAAAACTCCACATGTATTGACAAAAAATAAGTAAAAAAATAGTTCATTGAATATAATACGGTTTCATTCGTAATGTTTCGAGCGGTTACAAATCTTGCAAATTCTTCTGATGGAACTGTTTTGAACGAAGTTATACATGAAGATCTTCTGCTTAAATGTGAACCCTCTACTAGCGTGGACGCATTATCTAATGGTAAGTGAAATTCATTCAAAAAAAAATTTAAAACTAAGTTTAAAAATACACTTATGTATTGAGTTGTAACCGATTTTGTTATTATTGCAGGAGCTTTCGGTAGCAAGCAGCAGCACAAAGTCGAAGAATGGAAGCGATCACCTAGTCCCAGTTTGACGAACAGCCATGTGCCACCTCTCACACCATCACCAGGCCCATCCAGCTTACCATATTCGACATTGTCTAATGGCTATTCTTCGCCAATGTCGTCAGGCAGCTGCGATCCCTATAGCCCTAATGGTAAAATGGGTACGTTTTTATAAAACTTCAAATATTTATGGATTTAGATAATTAAAAATAATCGAAATAATTAAATATAATATAAACAGTTTTGAAAATAATAATAACGTTTAATCTATTGGCCTAAGCAGTTTCTATAGCAAGTTAAAACTATTTTAGCTACAGTTTTTGAGCAACTTACTTCTTTGAAACGATGCATCAACAAATTAATATTAATTTTTCAAATGTTGATGTTGAACACTATACGTGATAGTGTATAAAATATAACTTTTATAATTGATTTTTTTTTAAAAAAACTGAACAATTTTTAATTCTCTTTTATCTTCAGATCTTTATTTTTGTACACACATCATGGACGTGATAACTGTCGACAGCTTTGATCAAAGAGAAAAAGCTTTTAATTGCTAAATTAGAATAAAGCAATATAATACGAGATAATTCAAAATTATTTAAATACAATTATACATAAATATATTTACAAATTGTTAGTTCAATAAACGGCGAACCTTTTGTTTTACACCTTTAATGTTGACATGTGTTTGTTAATTTGACTCAGGTTTGAGGATGTTCTAGCCTCATACATGTTTCGTTGATGACAATGAAACTGATACATGTGTTTGCATTCGCGGTAGACGAGCAGAGCCGAATTCGTCCTTCGATTCTTAAATGTTATAGCCACAGCCGTCTTATTTGAATTGCAAAATGTCGTGATTAAAACGAATTCGGAAGCTCGATAAACTGAATCGTTTATTACGATACGATTAGACCAATTTGAATCCAATTGGTTCGTGTCACATTGAACTCGGTCCAGTTCCAGTGTATCGTATTCCAATTGGATTCGAAAAATGTATTGTGTCTCACATCACTACTCGTCCCCTCGTCCGCACCGCCACCGCCATCGCCATCGCCACCGCCAGCCAGCACAGTACGGCATGACGGCATGACGTCACGCTCCGTCGGTGACCCTGGCAGTGAGCATGACTGCGGAGTATTGCTTGTATTGCTTGTATTGCTTGCTCTCGGTCTAGTGTTAGTGTTAGTGTGTGTGCGATAAGTGAAGGTTTCGAATCGACGTGGAGAATGCGCTTTAGAATACCTACATACATCTGATGCTATGTGTTGTACGAGGACACTGTACAGTGCAGTCAAGTCAAGTCAAGTCAATCGTCAAATCATGCGTTTTATTTTCAGTCATCGCACAGACACGACGTGATATAGAAACCAAGTTCTCAGTTAAAATTGTGACGATATAAACAATGTGAATTTAATGTGAAACAATGTGCTTATTAACAAGCTGAATGTGTAGCGTATCGAGGGATATATTTTCCTTTGTGCCGAGTGAAGCTTGTGTTTCTTTAACCCTACTTATGAAATGAATGAAATTTGTTTGTGTATCAGCAGTACTCTACCATTGAAAATGTCAAGTTACTTAGGTGTTATGTATGAATCAGTGGAATGTGATTATGAACAAACGTGCGTTTTCAAATTGAGTGTATCGAAACAATTATTCAAATGTAAAGCAGTGTACGTTTATTCACCTTAATATAGTGGTGTGCATACAGTGATAATATATAGTCAATGCATAAAAACAAAGACGGGATAAATTCATACTATTACTTTTATTATACGTGGTAAATATTGTGTTCGCTTCGTTCATTGCCGTCGCGCTATATATACAAGACGCACATGCTCATATCACTAATTATATATAACCATTAACAATTATATGTATAATTGTATTTGTGAAATGAATACATGCTACCTAAAAACTGAATCGTATGCCGCTCTATCAATCAGAAATGATAATTAAACAATTTTTTTATATTGAAATAGAACATATTATGTTCATATGTCAATAACAAATTTTAAACATTCATCCAAGTTACCTATTTTATGCTTTTAAGATATTATTTATTTATTTATTTTGTTTTGTAAAATTTAAAATTTTACATAAATACTTTCTAACTATGAATATAAATTAATATACAAAAGATTTTGAAACTAAGAGGAAAAGTAATTATAATCATTTTAATCATTAAATTATATACTCAAAATGATACAATTAGATTTTACAGTCACACACATTAGGTACAGAGATTCAATTATGAATTAGGAGTTGAGAAATGCTTTCGAGTAAAATCTGCAATAAGATGACTATATTCCTAAGGATGTTATGTCAGTCATAAATAAAAATCACTATATTTTCAATTTGTGTATGGTGATCTTCTAAAGGATAAATGTGTGAAGTGAAATACCTTGCATTATCAACATGAAACGACGTTGGTCTAACAACGGTGGCTTCCAAACCTTGCGGATGCTCGAAGATGTTGCATCTGGTGAGGTAACGTCGTCTTCTGGTGGCGCCCTGGCTGCGTTGAGTCCGGCTTCGTTAGGTTCGCCCGAGACATATGCCGAGCTGGATTTGTGGGTGTACGAGGAAGCTGGCTTACATCCAGGTTCAGGTGTGCAAGGATGCGGTGCGGTCGCCGCCTTGCCATCGATCGCGACACAGGTCCCCCTAGGATTGCCCGCTATGGACCTACCGCACACGCCTCGGAGTGACAGTGCGGGTAGCATCTCATCAGGTAAACGAGGAGCGAACATTTTCATAAACAAATTAACTGGTAACCGACATGCTACATACTGAAGTAGCCAGTCGGAGATAAGTTTTAAAAAACCGCTGCTTTTTTTCATGCTCACTATTACTTATCTGTAAATATATTTATATGATATTAAGAAATATATATATATATATATAGAACTCTACTTTATTATAAGCAAGTGTTAATTAATCGTTCGGTTTGCTGATTTTACTTATGCTTCATCTAATTCTATTATAGGAAGTAAATATATTTTTATCGTCTGTAAAGCTAATATTCTCATGTATTGCATTTGTTAGAGTATTGTATGTACCATAATACTAGTGACAAGTTAATTGTTATACACGTTAGTTTTCTGTTAGGTTCAAAAAAATACATAATTATAAGAAACCAGAAAACGAATCTCTTTGATGTATGTACAAGAATCATGAAGCGAACAAAAGTGTTTAAATGAAAGGCACTAAAAATGGATATTGTTATAATTAGTTATAACTATTACAGAGGAGTACGTTGCATTGAAGGTGACAATTATATTGGAAATATTCCTAAATCGATTAAAAGTATATAAACGTAAGAAAAACAAAATGTTTCAACCTGTGAAAGAAAATTATTTCGGTTCTGTTTGCACGGATAAGAGATGAATTCATTCGTTTCTAAATAATTTAACAATCGATATATAATACCAAAATTAGATAAAGTGACAGTTATTTAGTTAGTTAGTTAAATAAACCAAGTTATTTATTTGTTAGTACGATAAACTAGCAGTTATTAACAATTGTAACGACTCTGAGTCGATCTCTGAATTATAGTACGATATCAGGTATTTAAATAATAATAATATTTAGAAATGATTTGTATCCCATAAGAGTACCAATTAATAAATATAAAAAATAGAATTAAGTACGAAATTTAATCATTATCAGCAAATCTAGAATAAATCGAGTGCTTAATAGCTTTTAATATCTAATTTTTTGGCATGCCGCTCGAAATAGCTCTCGAGCCTGTCGGGTCGCGAACCTCTGCTATAAACACAGGTGGGAATAGCCTTATACGCTAGATTGATTTTGTGACGTTCTAAGTGCGTTCGCGGCCACTTGCAACCGCCGAATCGATACACCAATTATGTATATATATATATATATATATATATATATATATATATATATATGTATGTGTGTGTGATTATTTTGTATACAAATACATTTCATTTTCGTCAAATGCATACGATAGATATAGTAATCAATTTTGATGTAGAGATATATGAGTAAGTGCTTTTAGGCGATACATCAAAGAAAAAAGATTTATAATTTAATCTTTAATTTTCTAACGTCGAAACGTTTGTCTTTAATATCATCAGTAAAATCTGTAAAGTAAAAATTGAAAAATTGATATAAACTATGAAAAATTTGGAAAAAAATAACTCGAAGAAAAAAACTATAAAAACTAACGAAACAACAATACTTACCAATATAAAAAGAGAATATATATATATATATATATATATATATATATATATTGTATGATTCTGAATTTGATGTTGACATATGTATTATCAAAGTCTAGTAATCGAGCATAACATCAATAAAACATGAATTTCTTTCAAAAATTTATTTTAAATCCATACGTTTCGGCTATAATCCTAGTCTTCATTCAGTGGACACTAAAATAAAATTAAAAACTAAAATAATTGAATTGGAGTGAAAATAAAAAATAAAACAGTGAATAGTACTTACGATTAGTTAATCTTAGTGTTAAATTGGAAAATTTTAATAATCCATGGTATCAGGATATGGTAGTGCACTACACTATGTATTATAAACATTAAACTTGTAATTACACAATATTTTCACAAAATACTAATTTAAAAAATCTCAATTGGATAGTGTGTTATTCGTAGAATGGTTGAAAATATAATGGAGAAAGGACTTTTTGAAAAATATTTTTTACCAAGATTCTACACATGTGTGGAACGATAGCGAATCCTTTGCGCGTCGTTTTTCTTATTTTGTGAGAAATTTGGAAATACTATCTAAATAAAAGAGATTTGTGTCGCACAGCGTGTTAAGTTCATTCCGTTTATTTATTGTTTTATTGCTGTAAATAGTTAAAATTTATTTTAAATCCATACGTTTCGGCTATTTAACTATTTACAGCAATAAAACAATAAATAAATGTTTTGACTCATTTAGAGCGCCCCAATAATGTCCAAATATATGACCGACCTCCAGTAACTTTGGATGGCCGATCTACCCATGACCATGGCTCTCAAATATCGTCGCCGTAACAGTCTCCATACAGTTGCTGACACAAATCCATACGTTTCGGCTAGCATCTTAGCCATCATTCAGTGGTAATCAAATTAAAAAAAATTGTATCCTAATATAGCATATGAAACCATTATTAATCCATGGTATTAGTATGTGCACATTGATAATATATATATTTTTTAACATCACAAATGGTAAAACACACTAATAATCATGATAACTTAACAAGTTGTCGAAACTATGTATTTACTCTTCGGAGTTTAAGATAGAAATGAATTTAATAAATAAAATTTTAATTTGATTACCACTGAATGATGGCTAAGATGCTAGCTGAAACGTATGGATTTTAAATAAATAAACTTTAAAAAAAACTCTCATACTATTTTTATTGATGTATTTTAGTCCTATATATAGTAGATAGCGAATGCGGCATCTATTATAAAGGAGCGAAAATGTTTACTATACCCCCGTAGAGAAGTTGTCTGACAACATTCTATGGCTGCCAGTAGTTCAGAGACCGGTTTTCTCATGTTGAAGTATCTCCAAGAACATTGAAACAGTCTTCGATTCTGCTCAAAAATTATACTATTAGTGCGTCATGATGTATGTCGACATTTATCGAACACATACAACATTGAGAGTATACAAATTCATTTAGCTATCCACCTACACCATTCTTTTTTAATTTCTATGTTAAACTTTTTGCAATTGACAGCTATATCTAAGCCCTAATATAATACAAAAAAACGTCTAGATATTTTAGAATTTATTGAAATTGTCATTTGTTTGTACCTTTTTTATAATATAAAATTTACTATATAAAATTTAATTCAATTAAAATTATATAAGTATTTAACCATCAATTTTTTTTTCTTTTATTGTTATGCAATGTTTAATGTTCAATTAAAATTATATAAGTATTTAACCATCAATGTTTTTTCTTTTATTGTTTTGCTATTGGTTGTTGCATAGTTGTTTAAAAATAATATCATAAATCGTGATAATGGTTTAGAATTCAAAATGCTATTTAATTTATGTCTCATTGTCTTATTGTCAGGGGGCGTCCATTAATCACGTGAGGTTTTTAGGGGGAGGGGGGGTTTGCCAAAAAATCACGAAATATCACGTGGGGGAGGAGGAGTCTAGCAATATATCATGTGTATTTATGTTATTTACTATTTTTTATAAAAAGTTCATACATTTTCAAAAAAAAAATATATTTTACAAATTTTTTACGTTACTAAAAATACACGTGATGTTTGCTGGGGGAGGAGGGGGGTAATTTTGAATATCACAAAGTATAACCAAGGGGGAGGGGGGGTCTAAAAATCCTTAAAAACTCGCTCACGTGATTAATGGACGCCCCCTTATCGAAAAATTAATGTACAAATTTGGCATCAGAAATGTCTATTAATTTTATTCTATTGAAATAATAATCAAATTCAAATATTTAATGATCAAAGTACATTTTTTATTTCTTTTTTGAAAAAAAATAAGCTTGAAAATAATGCAGAAACTCGACCTGATGTTTTAGATGTTGAATTGCCATTTATTACACTCTTTATTAATTGTTATATTAGAAATATTAGTACATACATATATAAAATAAGAATAATAAATGAATATGCTTTTAAAATGAAAACCCAAATTTGCCTTTTGATTGTGCACTATTTTAATTGATATTTCTGTGTCGTTTACTATTTAGTGATGGAAGTGTATCATATGAAGGAATGTAAATAACTTTCTTCGGTAGGCCCTGCTTTGACCGCTCGAATCGCGCGCGAGTTCTCTAAAGGTGTTCTGGGTGTCCTTCAAACATTAGTTCATCGGCTTTTTTTCGCTATTCTCTACGAACTTGGATGTTTTTATCGAATAACATTCACTGCTTCTGCTTGTGCTTCATGCTTCTTGATTCATATTATCAACACAAGCATTTGAGTTATCGTTAAATCTGAGAATTAAATGTAATTTAATTGTAATATTTAGTATTTGCCGTAGTATACCACATTCATTAAATAGTTAAAAATTATTTACTTGGACTAATATTTGTCAATTTGTTGTTTTTTTCATTTCGTGGCATTTTAATTGACATAAGATATTAACAACACAGAAAAATTAATTCGAAAAGTAGACTGATAGAAGTCTTTTAGCATGCATAGCAAACATGAATTTGATATGAATTTTTTTTTTGTAATATGATGTCTTGGGTATACTTTTTTGATAGCGACCACTTCTGATATTTTTAAAGATAAGAAAAGTAATTATTACAATTGCCAAATATGTGTTCTAAATGCATCGATTTATTTCTTTTAAGGAATGTTGTAATAAGTATCGTGTTCATCGTTTCAAACTTCACGTTTTGCATAATATTAAAATATTGTTTTATATTCCTTCGCTGAGTTTACGCATTTCATAAAATTGACATGAAATTGATAATGGCTGATAAAAAAAATAGACCATCCAAATTGAGAGAAAATCTATATTAATTGGTGTATATTGTCCCTCAAAATGCGCTGAATATTAAATGTTTAAGATTCAATTTAACCCAAAGTAGAACTGAAATAATATTGATTGACCAAGCACGTCTACATGAGTCACAAAAGTATAATCTGTCACCGATAAATAGAATTGATTATATCAACCAACCTTTACGATTTATTTCTGGAATCACAAAGTAAGGATAAATTGGTACATAGCATGTACATTGTACTGCTGTAGTACGTTATTAATCAGAAGGTCCGGCGGAATGGTTTTGCCTAATATTCCACTATTCGGTCAGGGTGGCCGAAATGAATTGCCAAATACAATATTCATTGCATGCCTAATAATATTGTATTTACAGGACGAGAAGACCTGTCACCGCCTAGTTCTTTGAACGGCTATTCAGCAGATGGCTGCGAAGCGAAGAAGGCCAAGAAAGGGCCGGCGCCGCGGCAGCAGGAGGAACTATGTCTTGTGTGCGGCGACCGTGCCTCCGGATATCATTACAACGCTCTTACTTGTGAAGGATGCAAAGGTAAGGCATATTTCGACTCCTCTCAAATAAGATAAATCGATGTAATAATAATTCTTTGTTGCTCGAGACAATTTCTATCAATTTATGTTTCATTATTTTATATACATGTTTCGGATGAGATACAGGATTACGCTAATTACAGTTAACAAATTACCTCAATTAAATTAATTACAGTAAGAATTAAAATTAAAATCTGAATTATTAAACTTTTTTTTCCAAAAGCAATTGTTTCGTCAACACAAGCAGAAAGTTTCTTCTCAAAAACTGCCATTTTTTGTACATTTAGCTCGGTATCTATGAAACGGCTCGACCAGCATTTGCCAAAAACTAATCACCACTTCTCCCCATCATTACAAACAGAATGTTTTTAGATCATGCAAATCGGATGCCCCGTTCTCTCAAAATCTTGATATCTATAGTTTAAGCACACTTTGCTCTGTATCTCCGTAACGGTTGGACATGCCTTTACCAAAAACTAATCAGCACATCACCCTATCAATATGAATCGAATGTCGTTTGAACCATTCCAGTCGGTTGATCCGTGCGCCCGAAAACGTGAACGAGAAATGGGGACATACAAAGCACACACACATCCATTTTTTCTGAACTATGCCAAAATCTTCAGAAACCTTCAAAACGTGAAGATATGCAAAATTTTCATTTTTGATTTTCGACCCATTACTATAACAACCCTACGGGAAGTTAATATTCTTTCACATGTAATTGGCATATCGAGAAAGATAGTAATAAGCTTTTGAAAATTTGACGATGGTGCTGTGAAATTTAACGATCACTTAATTTTATGATGTAGGAGAGTAGATTAAAAAGTTGTGCTCCTAGGCTTGGAAAAATTTATTCCTAACGTTCTTTTTGTAATTCGAATATGAGATATTGAATTGATATTTGAATAATTTGAATTTAGATATGAACTAAGTAAGTAAGAAATATTCATACTTTTCCTTCAAAGAATAATTTTGATTCACAACGGTATATTTTTGTAATTATCGACTAATTGTAAGTGACATGCATAGATTATATATAATTAATCTAATTTTATGAAATTAGGTTTTTTCCGACGAAGTGTGACTAAGAATGCCGTGTACGTGTGCAAGTTTGGGCACACGTGCGAAATGGACATGTATATGCGACGCAAATGTCAGGAATGTAGGCTCAAGAAATGTTTGGCTGTCGGAATGCGCCCCGAGTGCGTGGTTCCCGAAAACCAATGCGCCATGAAGCGAAAGGAAAAGAAGGCACAGAAGGAAAAGGACATCGGACCAATATCAGGTACCGTTGGAAAATCTGCTGCTCCCCTAGCGAATTCTGCATTACTTCAGAAGCCTGATATTTTGCCTGCGGTCATGAAATGCGACCCATTACCTCCAGAAGCAACTAAAGTGGTAAGATCAACAACTGGAGCAAATTAGCCCCAATTTATTTTAAGTGTGTCACGATTTTATATACAAAAACAAAAAATATCGATATCTAATAAAATCATCATTGAATCATAAAGTATTAAATTTTAATTAAATCCAGTTAATTATCAAACTAAAATAAATCAAACCGTTGTAAGCTTTTTAGATTCTGTAGATAATTCCGTACCATATGGCATAAAAAACTTTTTTCATGATTGTTTCATCGTTTTGGTTTGACGTTGAGATCTGGGACACCTTGTATTTCATAGTCTTTAACTATATTCAAATAATATTTTTATTATACAAATTTATCTAAAAGTTATTGTTTTGTATATCAGACTAACTATAATACTATAAAACAATTCATTTATGTTTCATTATGATATTTAACTTTTGCAGAAATTTTTGTCAGACAAGATTCTTGCTGAAAACAGAATTCGAAATGTTCCACCTTTGACTGCAAATCAAGAATATGTGATCGCAAGATTAGTGTGGTACCAAGATGGATATGAACAACCTTCTGAGGAAGACCTACGAAGGATAATGATAGTAAATAATTGTTCTTAATTCTGTATTAGTAATATAATTTTAATTATGAGTTGAAATAATGTGTTTTTCAGAGTACACCAGCTGAAGATGAAGCTCTTGAATTTCGGCATATAACTGAAATTACCATACTTACTGTGCAGCTTATAGTGGAATTTGCAAAGGGTTTACCAGCTTTTACCAAAATACCACAAGAAGATCAAATAACATTATTAAAGGTATTCTAAGCAGCACATCATTTTGCAATTAAGCCTATAAATTTGTTCCAAGTTCCAAAGTAAATGAAAGATGTAAATTTCTAAAAAGTAATTCTCACAAATTAGGCATGTTCAAGTGAAGTAATGATGCTGCGAATGGCTCGGCGGTACGATGCAGTGTCGGATTCAATCTTATTCGCGAATAATCGTTCATATACTCGTGACTCCTATAAAATGGCTGGTATGGCAGATACAATAGAAGATCTATTGCATTTTTGTCGACAGATGTATACTATGACTGTAGACAATGTGGAGTATGCACTAATAACAGCAATTGTGATTTTTTCAGGTAATGAAAATTATTGCTTTATTATTATTTTCATTCTTATATTATTATAATTGTCTTAATATGAGTTGGTATTTAGATTTTTGAATTTCTATTTTTCGATTTTAATAAATAATATTGGTTTTATTTATTTGAATCTTTTCCTGAATGTGACCCCATTTGCTATTAAAAAAATATTTTCATCCTTATATGTAAAAATTAAGCATAAATAACAAATTATTATTTTTAAAATTCTTGATTCTTGATCAACTTTTTGTAATTTTTTCTACTTGCAATTTTTTGTTCTCTTAAATTGCATAAAAAAAAATTGACTATCGATAAAATTAAATCGTAAATAATTTTAGCTTAAACCTGCTTTTTGTTAAAATTTTTTGTTCAAATTATAGAGGATTTAAACAAATTTTCTTTTGCTGAATGTGACCCCATTTGATATAAAAAAAATATTTTCATCCTTATATGTAAAAATTAAGTATAAATAACAAATAATTATTTTTAAAATTGTTGATTTTGATCAACTATTTGTAATTTTTTCTACTTGCAATTTTTTGTTCTCTTAAATAGCATAAAAAAATTTTGACTGTCAATAAAATTTTAGCCTAAACCTGCTTTTTGTTAAAATTTTTTGTTCAAATTATAGAAGATTTAAGCAAATTTTGTTTTAGAAAGATGAAACTGGTTAATAGAGTTTTTTTTCTTCAAATAAATCACTATCCAAAAAAAACGTTATTACCTATGTAATAACTTGTTTATATTGAGCCAGATTGTAATAATGTTATTATTCTGGTAAATAATTATGAGTTTCCAATTTAAATAACTTTTCTTATAAAGTAATATTAATATTTATATAATCAATATTTATTTTGCTCCTCTAACAATATTAGATCGACCAGATTGTAATAATGTTATTATTCGGTAATAATTATGAGTTTCCAATTTAAATAAACTTGTCTTATAAAGTAATATTAATATCTTATAAATCAAATTTATTTGCTCCTCTAACAATATTAGATCGACCAATAACTTTTCTTATAAAGTAATATTAATATTTATATCATCAATATTTATTTTGCTCCTCTAACAATATTAGATCGACCTGGATTGGAACAAGCAGATCTTGTGGAACAAATTCAAAGTTATTACATCAAAACATTAAAGTGCTACATTTTGAATCGACATAGTGGTGACCCTAAGTGTGGAATATTGTTTGCCAAACTTCTTTCTATTCTTACTGAATTACGCACGTTAGGATGTAAAGTGCTCAGAAAATCAACAGCTCTTTTGCATATTTGTTTACTGTGTACTGGTATGGAAAATTAAGGTATCATTAAAATATTACATAAGCACCATGGGAAAAGGCCGTTAAGGCAATATTTTTGAATATATAATCTATTGAGACGATACCAATGGTAAACTTGGAAAAAATTCTTCTGTTTACATATTAGGAGCCAAGTTAAAGAATAAGTGTGAATGATTGTTGATATATTGCTTGTGTAACACTTCAATGGCCTTTAATAAAATAATGTTTAACAACGTCGATAGGAAATTAAAAAGAAATCATGTGTAATAAAATCATTTGTAGGCCGGCCATACTGATTTACCTATATTAAGCAGAAACTTCTTATTGTATAAATATATTTTTGCTTTGCAAGGTAAAACCTTCTCAATGCAACAATGAATTATATATAAACATTGATTATTTTATCGTTAGAATTTGAATTTTGTGTTGTGGGAGAATTGTATTTGGATTAGATAAATAGGCTGTGAAAAATAATTTAATTCTATATCCTCAAAATACCTATACATTATATTGACCTCCATTTGAAATCATCTGACAAAGGAAGCTATAATTGCTGCAACCCTCACACGAGAATACATATATAAATACTACACATAGTGCTCAAGTAGCTATAATGATATAAATTAACATATTTCCAAAATAGATTCAAGTATTTTTAGCCTCATTCATTTTTTACCTTAGAAATTTGCAAGTTTTATTCAAAATTATATAAATTCATTCCGAAACCATACAGTGCTCTTGTCAAATGCTGCTGCTGTAACTTGTATATGTTTGTTTATGTAATTAATGCTTCATATAAATTTATGCTGTTTAAGACATTATGTGTAATATATTATCACCCTCTTTATTAGTTAGAATATATGTATTTTTATAAGTTTGACGATAGAATGTTTTAAAGTTATTTTCAGACTGGCCCTCTTATCAAATGATTTTAAATAAAGGGTTTCTCAATTCACATGTGATGATTCATCTAACGTTAGATCATATTTGAATGCTAGTTCATTAAATATTTGTAAGGAAAATGATACAAAGTATGCCATTGTTTGGTGTTCCAATTACTTTAATATTATTTGCTATATTCTCTCTCAAAAGTTAATGATTTTTATTATTTTAATCAATTATCTACTTTGTAGTTCATGTATGGCATATCAATACAGTATGCGTGTGCTATAATAATTTTGAACGTTGCACCATATTAGTGTTCAAATTATCTTTGTCATTATATATATATATATATATATATATATATATATAATGAAGTAGTTAATTTTGATGTTGAAATATATGAGTGAGATACATCAAACAAAGAAAAGGCAAAGGCTTATGTGACACATAAGCCTCGGAACGCGCAAAGTACAGAAGTCGTGGCAGAAATTACCTAATTTTACTTACATTTTTGTTCAAATAAAACTATCATTTTTCTTTTTACATCATACAAAAAAATATAAAAAATGCATGGTGTTGACAAGTTATTTGTATAAATGTTAGTGCCAATTTCTAGTGCTGTGTACACTTCTCTAGATGTAACCAACCAACGTAATATCCACTGATGATGACATTAAATTGAATGTCGAAACGTTTGGAATTAAAGATTATTTTATAAATCTTTGCCTTTTCTTTGTTTGATGTATCGCCCTCAAGAACTCACTCATATATATATATATATATATATATATATATATATATATATATATATATGATTCAATTCTTGGAGGGCGCAACATCAACTAAAAAATATAAAGATTTTTAAAACATCTTTATTTTTCCATACGTTTTGACGTAAAATTCTACGTCATCGTCAGTGGTTTTAAAATTCTTAGATTATCACTTACACATCTTAACAGCAACTTGTAAATAATTAATAATTGGAAACAAGCACCAAATGTCAGTAATTTCTTTTTTATAAAAAATAAAAAATAAATGTTACGTATGATATTTTATTTAACAAAAAGAAATTACTGACATTTGGTGCTTGTTTTCAATTGTTAATTATTTACAAGTTGTTGTTAATATGTGTAAGTGATAATCTAAGAATTTCAAAACCACTGACGATGACGTAGAATTTTACATTGAAATGTATGGAAAAATAAAGATGTTTTAAAAATCGTTACTTTATTTATATTTTTTACTTGATGTTATGCCCTCTAAGAAATTAATCATACATTTCAACATCAAATTTAAACACTTTCAACATATATCTATATATACATATATATATATATATATATATATATATATATATAATTTAAAATTTATTAATAAACGGCACTAAAGTGTAGTACTGCCTAAGATGATAAAATTAAATTTTTTGAGACAATATAAATATAACTGAAAAATTACAGTTTTAGATTTATTTGATAGTTTTATAATAATGATGCAATAAGTGTTAATAGCAAGCATACATAGAAGAGCATTGCAGCACATATTTTCAAATGATTGATTTTTTATAGTTATCAATATCATGTCCATAAAGTTATTTAATACCTAACACTGTGTTAAAGTTTTTTTTTCGTTTATGTTAATGCTCAGAATATTTGAAAATGAAACTGGTTGTGAAACACTTCTAATAATTAGTTTTTCAATTTAATTTTTCTGTTTATTAGTTGAAATTGAGGAACCCATGATATTGAAAATAGTATCAATGACTAACAAATTTTAATATCTTTAACATGATTTGAAATAAATATATATGTATAATGTACATAGTTGTGTGAGCAAAGTAAGTTCACACACACACACACACACACACATATATATATATATATATATATATATATATAATTTTAATATAATAATAACACATATGTAATAGTGATCATTCCAAAAATATCATTTTTTTAAGAATTTGGAATTTTGTTTTTATTCAATATTGAAATTGTATTTTATCAGAAATCTGAGGTGCCTTTAAAGATTGAAATGTGGCTAAAATGTGCCACAGTGGAGTAGCCGAGAAGTTTTCTAATTATGAAATACATTTGAAAGAAATTAATTTAACTACATCATATATATACCACATATTATATATATATATATATATATATATATATATATATGGTAAAGTAGTTAATTTTGATGTTGAGAAATATGAGTAAGTTCTTCAAGGGCATACATCAAATAAAAGGCAAAGATTTAGAAGTTAATCTTTAATTTTTCCAAACGTTTCGACATAGTATTTTATGTCATCATCAGTGGATATAAATATGGTCTTACATCAGTAGCTAGCGCTAGGAACACAATTTTGCACTATCATATATACATTAACTTGTTTTTTTATATATTAATTTGTTGAACAGAGTATGGCAAAATATTTGTGAAATATATAATATATTTTGCACAGAGAACGTAGTTTATGTGACAGAGCCCGAGGCTGTAGTAACATGTGTTAAACGTTTGGAAAAATTAAAGATTAACTTCTAAATCTTTGCCTTTTATTTGATGTATGCCCTTGAAGAACTTACTCATATATATATATATATATATATATATATATATATGTAATACCACATATTATATATATATACAAAAATTGGAAGTATTCAGTTAATATAGACAAAAAGGAAATAAATGGTTAATATATAATATTTTGTTATAAGCTACTCCACTGTTTTGAGACTGATTGATTGGTATTATTTTTGATTAAGATATGGGATTGCTGTTATGAGGCTATCAAAGAAAAATTATACAAAAGTAACTTTATTCAGAGATAGACGATATTATGTTACAAATTTATATTCATTATGAAAAATGTAATTATACTCTTGTTAAAATTGATGTAATGTACTTTATTACAGTTATGTTCCATCAAAACAAAATGTGGACTTAAATCTGGAGATGCATGTACAAAGAAATCTGAATTATTATAAGCCATTATGATCTTTTGTAAGTTCACATTTCAAATGTATCTTTGATGTAGTGCAATTATACTGTAATTACTAATGACATATATATGTTTAAAGTTTTTTTAAATTCAAAATGTCTGTAGAAATATAATTTTATTTCAATTTGATATGAATAAAATTGAAGATAAATATAAAAATGAACTATGTTATAAATATTATAATATAATAATAGTTTATTTATTTTAACATTGTAACTATATAACACAAGTATAAAAAATTTGAAATTACTATTGCTCTGATGGAACATAATGTATATCTATTTAATTAATCGGTTTATTCCAACATGCTCGACCATGTATCACATTCATTCATGCAATGTGTTGTATGTGAAGACGATGACTGGTGTACATGAAATTATCTTGTATTTGAATGTTTAGAATGAACCAATATAATTTAAAATTTAATTAACATGTACTAATATTTGATTTTATTAGTTCTTCTTTGTAGAAGAAGTATGAAATTATTTGTACATCTATTTGATTATTTTGCTATGCTAGTTATAATTTATATTTACAATAAATAATCTAAATAATGGATGATTTTTAACTGTTTAGTAAATGTTCAGCATCGAATTACACTTATTTTGTCCTTAAAACAAAATTCTTCACAATGATTATGAAGAATCGTTATCAAGATTTTTTATGTGTTTTAATTTTTTTTAAAAAAAACGAATTTAATTCCAAAGTGGCTTGTGTTAAATATTTTAGTTGCTACAGTTTGGCATGTTCAAAATCAACACCTAAAATATATTTGAAATATAAATCACAATCATTTTCACAATATCTATACAGTAAACCCTCGCTTTACGCGGCAAGTGCGTACTGCACTATGTAAGGTTCCACACGACAAGAACACACGACGAATTAGCCTGAATTGTATGTTAAATACGAGTTTTTTATAGCACGGTTCCCATACTGCACGGTACGCGTAAAGCGAGGGTTTACTGTCTATATATATATATATATATATATATATATATATATATATATATAATCTGCGTAAACTGGAACTCATCTACATAATAGAAATAGAAAGAAAACTAAAATTTGAGTCTAAAAAATATTTTCAATCGATTTCCATGTGGTTCAAGTCACTGAAAGCTATATTCACTGAAGACAAGTCAAATAGGGATTCAAATAGTATGGGAATTGATTTAAAATATTTTTTATAAACAATTTAGTTTTTTCTCTATTTGTATTTACATAAAAATGAATTTATGTAAGTAAAATGTAAAAATATTCTGAGCTATATATAGCAACGAATTGGTGTAAAATCTCAATTTTATTAAATATTTTTTAATATTAGCGCCTGAATAAGTGTACTAAATATTTAAATTTTAACAGAAACAATCTTCTACTTCTAGTATATTCTATATTTGAACCTAATGAAGTTCAGTGTGGTTTACAAAAGTGAGTGGCTGAGTTTGTTATGTTAGGTTTATTCGTTTATTTATCCTCCATGGTCGAATTTATCAGTCGTATATGAATTATGCATATTGCATATCATATTCTAATATTGCCTCTAGTGTCGGATGGTCGGATTGACGTTATAATGCTCGAAATTTACGATTTGACGTTTTTATTTTATTCTTTTACATTATTATCTGTGGCGACATCTTGATTGCTTTCTTCGGGTCTACTTGTTTACAACATCTATGTGCGGTTTCATTTAATTATTTAGTTCTGTGGATTCATTGCCAATTTATATCCGATATCAACATGGTTTAATTCATAATAAATAAAATGGAAATGTAAGTGGAGAGTATAGGTTGAGACAAATCTTTGTGCTTACTTTTTAATTTTTAAATTATTATTAGGTATGAACGAACTAGCGAAGATGTTCGATCTTTGATTGGGCATGCTAAATTGGATGAAAATAAATTAACTCCTATAACACAAGTACTTCATTTTTCCTTTTCCGATGAAAAATACTTTTGTTATAAATTACTTCAATTAGATTCTCATTTAGCTCAAGTATTACAAGAAGGTTCAGAGATTTATTTTAAAGGTAGCTTTTAATTCTTGGTATTTATATTTATGAAAATTTTCATACCTATTTTTTTTTAGGAGGAAAAACTGAAGAAGTTGTGTTATGCAGTAATAGCCAAACCTATGAGTTGAGAGAAGCTGAAACTTCTAATAGTCTTATAGTAGTTCCTGGTCTCCTTTGGCCTAAAGAATCAAATCTAAATCAATCATTAGATAAAAGTTTAGAGGAGGATAATTTAAACATATCCAATTCTTTTATTACAAATACAGATCAATTAGATACAGCTTCAAATAGAACAGTTAAAAAACAAAGTGTTCATAAAATTCTTCATACTTATTATAAAGTTCATCGAATTAAACCGAAATTCCGTAAATTATTTGATCTTCTTCAGATCACCAAATATAATGGCCCAGAAAATGAGTATAATATTAATAAAAAATTTTTGTTTACATACGGTCATTTATTAAGCACTGTACAAGCTAGTAGTAAAGAATTACAGGATGGTTTTCATGAAATACATGCTTTGGAAATAAATAACCATTTTAGGATTTTAGAAATAGAATATGAATTTCGTGTCGTTTCATATATGATGGCAGTAATTGAGGAAAATTCATGGAACTTTTTATCTGTATCTCGAAAAGAAACTATTGATAGTTTGAAAAATTTTGTCCCCCAGGCTGTTATAGAAGGTTTATTTGATATTTACACCATATGGAAAGGAGATGATCAGTTTTCATATAAACCACATTTAATAGGCAGGTAAGTCCATATATTAAAAAACTTAAAACTTTTCTTTCATCATTACATTTTATGTTTCAGACTCTATGCTCAAACTATATTGAAGAACTCATCAAAATTTAATTTGGATGATTTTTTAATGACCTGGCAAGCGTCAATGCCTGAAGGAATGAAAACTGATGTAAGTGATATTGAACTTCAACAAAATAACATAAGATAAATTGAAATTTCTTTTGAAAGAACTTTTTTCTTAGATATCTCATTTGAAAGGGATAGCTTTAGTTGATCGTGAAGCAAATCCAGCTTGTATAAAGGCTTTAGACAATTATGCCCTACCCATTACATTACTTGAAAGATTTCAAGCAATGTTTAAAATAAAAAAGTTATGGACTCTTGAGCAAATGGAACCATATATAGAGTAAGAATTAATATTGGTTATAATAGAATTAATAATATATTGTTTATTTATTTTTTGGGACTGTTAGTTATGTTTTCATTTTAAAACAGTGTATACTTTTTTCAGATGTTTTACAACACCAAGTTTGTCACTAACGACTTTGATATCAAAATACTCCAGAGCTTCTACAGTGAATGGTATACGAATGTATGGTGCAAAACATTCAAGCTAATGAGTTTATTTTAGAATACGATTAATAAATAAATAATGCAATTGATATTAATTACTCAAGCGTTATGTTTACATAATTTGTTTTTACTGTAAGAGACTAATATAAAATGCGAATCAAAAATGAGTTTATCTATTGTTGTCAGGTGAGATGAATATAAAATTCTTCTAAAGTATCTAAAGAGTATGTTTTCTTATTGATAGAATGTAAATAAATAATTGAAAGTATTTTTAAACTGACATTCAATTAACTCAATATCAAACAAAACCTATTAGCATATGAATATATCATATATTATATTATCATATTCTAATACTGTCTAGGCCGTCCAGGCCTATGATAATGGGAAGTATGCCCTAAGGCAAGTCTGTGAGCTGAGTAAACTTCAAAAACCAATTCAGAGAAGAAAAGTATTTTATTGTCTAGAGCTCAAACCCTATAGATAAGGTTGCATAATCCGATGTCCTATATGAATCAAAATGGCAGTGTAAACAATCTACGTATTTAAATTGTGTCTTGCACAATTCGCACAAAAGCGAATTTCCTGGAATTTCAATAACTATTTGTGGAACAGATGAGCAGAAGTGACAGTTCAAGAAGCTGCATGTCTATTGTTTTGTTTATTTCAGTTTCAGTCTACTTATTGCCACATCAATGTGTCAAAACTGACATTTCTTTGCATGACTCTTGTCCAGAGAGTATTAGGCAGAATCATTTGTACATGACCAATGACTGTCACGTTCTGAATGTATTCTAAAATTATTTTAATGTTTTGACATAAAATTCTTATTTTAAAATCAAATACGACTTATTAGAAGTTCAAGTAGGTAATTAGCAAACAATACAATTACAAATTTGATAGCGATACTATTTTTAGAAATATTGTTTCTGCTATTTTAAAACTTTATTTTTTAATTATTTTTGTAGATATATGAACATGGAATCTTCTAGTAGTGGATGTAATAAGAGGAAAGCCGATCAGTTAATTGATTCAAGTTTGCCTAACATAAAAAATAAATTTAAAAAGAAAGTTCCAAATGAATTTGAATCTTTGCCAGATAAAATAGATTTGATGTGTTTGCCTGATGACGTTCTTTATATAGTATTAAGCAATTTGCATCCAAAAGATAGGCTAGAAATGGGCTTGTAAGTTAAAAAGGATAGACTTGAAATAAGAATTATCTGAATAATTAAAGAAGTGTTTAGTTTTACTTGAAATTTTTAGAACCTGCAAACGAATGCTACATCTAGTCAATGCTTCCAATGTGTGGAAGAAAGTAGATTGTCGACCTCTGCATGTGAATAATTTGATGTTTGAGAAATTAATAAAATTTTTGTCTTTTGGAACTTTAGCCTTGAGTATTCGAGGGTATGCAATGAAACATCTTCATGCAGACATTCAACCAACTTGCACACCTCAATTATTACATATAATTAAAGATAAGTGCACAAAAATCAAAATATTGCGAATAGAGGAGGATTTAATACATAATGTGTGTATTTTTGTATTATATTTGTTAAATTATTTCATATTAATGTTTAATTTATATTCTAGATTGCAATAAAAGATTTTCCATCAACTCTAGAGGAACTCTCACTGGCAGGAAGTGCTAATAGATATTTTAATTCAGAAAATTCAGTACCTTATTTTTTTAGGATAGAGCAACATTTACCAAATCTAACTGTTAGTATTGCATTTAAATTATAAATTTTATAATAAGAACATAATTTTAGTTATTCAATTTATTTTCAGACATTATGTTTACGACAATGCAGATGGTTTGAGCCTCATGCATTAATGATATTATCTAAACTACCTCACTTACATAGTTTAGATGTCAGTAAATGTTCTAGGCTAGGTGAATGTGTACCATATTTTAGTCTTGCTATGAGGCACGGATTCAAAAAGCTTAGGGTGATTATGAATCTATACCAAACTATCACATATATAAGACATTCCTACGGTAAAGTCATAAAGTAAAATGTTGAACATGAAACTGTTTCAATTCACCAATTTTTTCTGATTATTATCTTATATGATTTGTGCTTTATTCCCCATTTGGTTGATTTGTCAAAGAGCAGGTGCACTTATTTTATATATATATATATATATATATATATATATATATATATATTAACATGATACATTGTATGAATATATAATGTAACATTTACATATTATAAATCTTTGAATGCAGGTACTGGATTTAAGGCATACCATGTTGGGAGATAGTGAAGTTTCATGTTTAAAATCGTTGCCATGCTTGAGGGAATTACTACTAGAATGTCCAATAAATGTACAACATGAAAATTCTCATGACAATGCTAATTTTAGTCGTAACCCTGTAGTAGTGATTAGGCCTTTATACAGGCAAATTTTTGATAATCAACTGCCACAAGTTGGAGTACATAATGCTAATATGGAAGATAATATAGATAATAGAGCAATTTTTCTTAGAATGCCAGCAATGCCTCGCAATCGCCCACTAAATATTGACCACATGGAACAAGAGCAAATAATAATACAAGTAAATAGAAATTTTGATAATAATAATGTACAAAATGAATTGCCTCAAGTTCCCGTACATAATGTTATAGAAGGGGGGCGAAATCATATTAGGAATCTTCATGCTAGACTACCTTTACATGATAATCATTTAGGAATAAATGATAATTTTCACATGCCACATTTAACTGTAGGAAGTCTCATAACAGATCGAGCTATTTGTGGATTTGGAAATTCTATGATCAATAATGAATTGAATTTGATTCGCATCCAAGGAGAGCATGCAGCTGAGGAATGTGAATCTTTGTTGGAACGAATAGTTGTTCGAAATTATACCTCAGTTTCTGACAGATCTTTGAGGCATCTTGCTAGGGCTATACCACATTTGAAATTTTTGGATGTACGTGGTACAACAGTAACAAAACAAGGTGTGGAGAAATTTATGCGAGATTGTCCTGACTGTCATATTAGATCTGATATCAATATTTAATGAATTATACCTTCAGGCAAATAAGAGTGGAAAATGAATTTTTATTTACACAAATGCATATAATTATAAATCTTTTTATGAGTAGGATATATATCTCTTATTTGAATATCAATATACTAATAGTTCATAAGCAACAGATATTTTATTTTTAAATTTTTTAAGTTTTATCACATCACATTTTAAAAATTGGTTTTATATAGCCATAGCAAAAGATAAAAAATATACAAAACAATTATGTTCATTCAACCTACGTCATTTCAAAGTAAACTGTAGCAAAAGTTATTCAATTTCAAATAGTTTCATTGAATTATAAGCATGGGAGGAATTTCAGACATTATCAAAATTATACACTTTATTTCGTTATGTTTTTACCACTTAATATCTATTAAATCAAGTTATAATTCTTGTTTGTTTTATAATATAAAAATGGCATATGTTTGGCTTATTATTTACGCCTTGCCGATAGACTTATAATATAACCTAGTAATAACACAGTTTTTTTTAATAATGTTGTTTTCGTTCTTGTGGCAAAAATTGATTACGTTTCTCTCGCATAACAAACGTCAGTTATCAGATAAAATTGTTTAAAAGTGTTGGAGGTGATGTCTTTTAAAATTATATTACAAGCAATTAGTATTTCCACATTTCTTTCATTGCTGTCAATGATCAGAATTCTAAATGTCAGTGGAAATGAAACTTTTCCAATTAATGTAAAATATTACAACACTAATGATTTAGAAATATTATTTAAAGAAATTGAACATAAATTTAGTGGACTTGCAAAATTGCATACCATAGGTTACTCAATACAAGGAAGAAAACTTTTAGCATTACAAATTAGTAAGAATGTTGGTAGAAGGGAACTCCTTAAACCTATGTTTAAATATATTGGTAATATGCATGGTGATGAAACTGTTGGAAGACAACTAATTATCTATTTAGCTGAATATCTACTTTCAAATTATAATTCAGACCCGAGAGTTACTAAATTAGTGGACACTATAGATATATATTTGATGCCTTCAATGAATCCAGATGGATTTGAAATGGCCTCGGTAATCTTCTTAATTCAATCTAAATTCAATTTGGTTAATAAACATTTTATATAATTTTTCTTTACAACTCAGGAGGGCAGATGTTCTTCATTAAATAATTATGTGGGAAGAAATAATGCATATGGACAAGATTTGAATCGTGATTTTCCAGACCAGTTCATTGATAAAGACAACTTCAGTTTCAGAGCACGACAGAAAGAGACAAGATGTATTATGAAATGGATTCTATCCAATCCATTTGTATTATCTGCAAATCTGCATGGTGGTGCTGTAGTAGGAAGCTATCCTTATGACGATTCTGAGTAAGAAGTTTGGCATTTAAGATCAATATATAATTATCATATTCATATTGCAATATGTATTTATAGTTCCGGGAGAGATTGTTGTAGAGACAGTGTTTCACCTGATCATAACTTAGTGAAACATTTAGCATCTGTATATGCTCAAGCAAATCCTATCATGAAAGGTGGAGAGGCCTGTAGGCCAGATAAATTTATAGGTGGAATAACCAATGGTGCAAATTGGTATGAATTAAAAGGTAATTTGTTTCGTAATTTATATATTAGTTATTATTTTTTGAATATACTACATTTCTATTATCTTGTAATAGGTGGGATGCAAGACTTTAACTATGTGTATTCCAATTGTATAGAAATTACATTTGAGCTATCGTGTTGTAAATATCCTATAGCTAGCACATTGCCATTACACTGGAATCATAATAAGGATTCATTACTAAAATTCATGGAACAGGTATGTTTCAATGATATGGGGCCCTCAACAAGCATAAGCAGAAATAGATAAATACTTTAAAGCCAAACAACAATTTTCAAAAAATTTAAATAATTCCGACATATTTGGCTTTTTTTTTTCATTATCGACAAGCATGAAATTTTATTTTAGTTTCTGAATTTAATTTAATCAATAATAAATCCATTAAAACGCCATTAAAAGATTCCAGGTTTTAGCTTTTGAGCCCAAGGATTTAAGAGAATTTATATTCTGCTGTATTTAAAAAGATTTTAACTTCATATGTTCTTTTCAAACACAATTTATACATTTTCAAACCTATTATGCTCACATGAAGTTCCAAGCACTAAAGCTTTTACACATCCGACAAGTCAATATTAAAACTAATAAAACTAATCCATATTGAAATAAATAATCCGTATTGAAAAGTCTGTATGATGCGTAAATTTAATAGTTAGATTTAGATAAAGATAATTAATTAAATCATTCTCACCGCAAATTCTGTGTAACGGATCTAACATTTTCATAATCCGCGAATATATAGTCTGTAAAGGTTGCCAGGTCTTTAAGCACTTCTGCATTGAGTGCGGACCCATCAACTTAGCATATCTCGAGAACAATTGTATTTACCACTTTAAATTTTTGTCACAATTTTGGTGAACTTACTTAAAAAAGGCGAGTAGAGTGAATATATATTTTGAAATAATATTTAAAAATTTCAGAAAACTCACAGATAGATGATGATAAATAAATGCATTTAATTTTATGCATTTTTTAAATTTTGTGAAAAATGTTTACTTTAATGGGGCCGCAAAAAAATTTTAATACGGAGCCTCACCAAGGCATGCTATGCCTCTGTTCACATTATATATTATCAGTTGAAATTTCTATAACACTTTGAATAGATAGCTTTTTACAAAACTGTTGAGGCTTTTCAATGTAGAGATTATTGAATACAGGTCCTTTTCATACTTAATTTAATTCTTATGCTCACTGTGAAGCAATGCTTTCGAATTTGATCTCTATTAGTATAGGGTATCAGTAAGTAATTTCAAACTATAATACAATACGATGCGAAAATAAATACAATATCGTTAGGTACATAATGGGGTGAAGGGAATAGTGAGAGATGACGAGCATAATTTGATTGCTGGAGCTTCTGTAAAAATATATGGCAAAGTAATTAAAACTAGTAAAAGAGGAGAATATTGGAAGTTATTATTACCTGGAAATTACTCAATACAAGTAACTGCAAAAGGGTGAGAGCATTTAAAAACAATTATTTTTATGAAAAAAGTGGTAGTATATTCCCAAATCTATTAAAATAACATTTAATATTTTTTATAGATATGTATCAAGTTTGAATAATCTCGTAACTATACAAGAGAATATGACAACAATTTTTAACATCACATTAAAAGGTAAACTTGGTTATGAAATTTGAATAAAGTTCAAAGTTTTAGGAAAAAAACTGAAAATATTTGCTGTAAATAATACTTCCATACGGTCTTGGAATCTTTGCATGTAATATTTAGATTTACTTTATTTTTCACATTTAAAATCACACACAATATAATAATAACTAAAATTTCATATTAATATAATAAAGATACAGTTCTAGTCATACTCTTCTTTTATCTATGGTTCTAGTATATATGAATTATACAGAGCTCAAAATATTGTTAGTGGTGTTATAAGTGTTTAGTTGTAATTGCAAATATTTGATGAATCATTTAGCTGCAAATAATGATGTTGAGGATATTTTTCATATATTAAAATTACTTATATGCAACATAATTTCTATTTACTAGAAGATAAAAGGACATATCTGAAACCCAATGTTATTAATTACCAATACCAGGATGATTTTTTGATACAAACTAAATATCAACATCACAATAATGAAAATTTAGAGATTTTCTTAAGAAATATTGTGAAAAATTATCCAAGTATTACTTTAATGAAAAGCATAGGTCAAAGTGTCAAAGGTCATTATTTGTGGGTTTTAGAAATTTCTGCAAATCCTGGAGAGCATATCACAGGTAATTTATGAAAACTCAAACTAATTTCATATGAATTTATTTCAACATATACATAGCATTTTTTTAACATATTGCAAGACTCATATCTTAGAGCCGTGTTTTAATTTGATATTGAATTTTATTTTACTGTATTGTGCATTGCTTGCACAATAAAAACAATTTGCAGAATTTTGTAAAAAATATTTTTTTTAGGAAAGCCATCAATTAAGTATGTTGGAAACATGCATGGCAATGAAGTTGTGGGGCGTGAAATATTGCTACTATTTGCAAAATTTCTTTGCGAGAATTATTTAATTGATGAACAGGTAACGAGAATTGTAAACACAACAAGAATTCATTTACTACCTAGTATGAATCCTGATGGATATGATATGGCTAAACCAGGTAAATTTGATTATTAATAAAATGCTGGTATATATTGTTGCAAAGTTTAAACTTGGTTTTGTTCCACAATTTCTGCCGTCCCAATTGTTAGAAAGATTTGATGTTTTATTTTCACGATTAATCACATTCCTGTTAATTTGTATTTACCTTTTATTAAACTTTATTTATAACTTTAGTGATATTATTTGTGTATTAGCTTTATTTTTTTTAATTTTGCTTGTTTAACTTCAGCTTTAATTTTTTAGAGGAAATTAACAATGTAGTAGGAAGAAATAATGCTCATAATATTGATTTGAATCGCAATTTTCCAGATCAATATAGATCTTTGGTAAGTTATAGCACTTGATATATAAATATGAATAAATAAATAAATAAATAAATACATAAATATATCTATATATATATATATATATATATATATATATATATATATATATATGTAATTATGAAGCGCTATGTTTTATATAAACATTTACATTAGCAAAAGTTTTTCATTTATTTTATTACAATATTCTATTATTGTGATCCGACCAGTTAAATGTTAAACCAGAGCCAGAAACAGAAGCGGTTATGGCATGGACACTTTCAGAACGTTTCGTTTTGTCAGCAAATCTGCATAATGGTGCGCTTGTCGCCAATTATCCTTTTGATGAAAATCCTTCTAACATTATACTGCAAAAAGTAGCCAACCCTAGCCCTGATGATGATGTGTTTCAACATCTTGCTAGAATTTATAGTAATGTAAGTAAATATTATATTTGTTGTTTGTAGTGCAACAAATTTTATGTGAGTTGTTTCTAGTAATTTTTTATAAGTTGTCATTTTCCAGTGGATTATCAATATAATTAATTTCATATTTATTTGTTGTTTTTTTCCAGTGGATTATCAATATAATTAATTTCATATTTATTTTATTGTTTTTTCATAATTCATTTGAAAATTCAGGCTCATAGAAAAATGCATTTGGGCCAGCCCTGTGCTGAACATCCAAAAGAACATTTTTTAAATGGAATTACAAATGGTGCTGCTTGGTATTCAGTCTCGGGAAGTATGCAAGATTGGAACTATGTTGAGGCTGATTGCTTTGAAATAACATTGGAATTAGGTATTCCATATATATAAAGCAAGAGGTTTTTCAGATAGTGAAATATTTTTTCAGATAGTGCATCCATCCAATAATTAAAACGATTTTATTGTAGAAAAATGTTTTTATTGTAATATCATATGTTTCGAGCCTTGATTTGACCCGTACTTGAGGATTTGAGTGCATACAAATAAACTAAAAAAAAAAATACAAAAAATACACGAAAATATATGAACATCAATTGCTACTACTTAGTTACTTACTACTTTTTTTTCACTTCATTTTTCTAGGTAAAACAAACTCATAACGAATAACATGTCTTTATGAGAAGAGCATTTTTTTTAAAAAAATATTTTATTTTTATTTTGTTTTCATTTAATATTTATTAAAAATGTCATATAACTTGATCTTACATTAATTGGTGGTCATATATTTTTGTGTTTTTTATGTTCTTATTTCTTTAGTTTATTTGTATGCACTGAAGATGGGCCAAATCAAGACCCGAAAAGTATATTACAATAAAACTTTTTTCTACAATAAAATCGTTGATGGATGCTCAAGAACAACTTTATATATATATATATATATATATATATATATATATATATATATATTAGCTGTTTTTATATTATTTATGCAGGTTGTGTGAAGTATCCAGGAGCTGAAGCACTTCCTGAATTATGGTTGGACAATAAGATGGCTTTATTGGATTATATAGAACTGGTATTACGAATAACATTATAAATTTATTTATTCATTTATTCAGGTCATCACCACCATTATAATAAGGCTCATGTCAATATGTTTTTTGTATGATTTATTTAATTTATTTATTCATTATTTATTTTTTTCATTTCATTTAAAAGCTAAATTACAATATACGTATTTAAAGTATTGAATATAATTTAATAGAATTTAATACTCATCATTTTGATTTGACATTGTTATCAATTTTATTACTAGCATAAAAAACATATTCTAATTAATCATAGTTGTAATTAACCGCTATGTTTTAAAATGAGTTTTTCATTTATTTTTAGGCTCACATTGGAGTTCGAGGCTTTGTCCACAGTTCCATAGGTAATCCTATATCATCGGCAGAAGTGCTTGTTAAAGGAAGAAAACACATAACAAAAACTGGTTCTAAAGGAGAATATCATAGATTGCTGTTACCTGGTTCATATAATATCACAGTGTCAAGTTATGGGTGAGTTAGTCATTATTATTCAATCTTACTTAATACTAGCTAGATAATTACTTGAAGGTATAGTTTAAACTTATATATAAGTTTAAACTATACCTTCAAGTAATTATCTAGCTAGTACTAAGTAAGATTGACCATATATATGGTTATGACATATTTCTTCTAAAAGTTTACATTTCAGGCTTGCTTATATTTCAGATATGAATCTCAAACTGTGCAGATTATTGTTCCTGATGTGAAACCATACTCAGTCGGATACAACTTTACACTCATGCGTGATGACCCTCAGCATTGGTCATCTGCATATGATTTCAGGCTCATCCAGCACGTCGTAAATACTCGCTATCGGACTACTAATGAGATTGCCAACTACATGGCATATTTAGGAAATAAGTACCCAAATATCGCTGAGTTTCGAACAGAGTATGACGACACGTCTATGTTGTTACATTCTCTAAAAATTACTGATCAGGTAATCACATTTTTTACCTTTTTTTAATATCCCAATATTAAAAAGTATGTATTAATAAATAATTAATTTTTTTTTAAAATTATTAGTTATTGAGCAGCATTCTTAGCTTTTATAGGGAAAATATAAATTATATATTAAAATATATTCATTTTTCAAGATATTTAGAATATTTTGAGTAGACTGCATAAAATGAATATGCAGTGTAAGTGGTATTTTAGCTTAACAACAACATTTTGTCTTGATTCTGATGACGGAATTTGCGCCCTTTGCGCATAGTTCAATGACTGTTTTTTTTTCTAAATTGCATTTTCTAAAGCTTTTTATTCAATAATTATAGTTAAACTAGCTTTTCGATAATTTAATTTGGCTTTGGGGACATGCACATCAACTCTAAATAATAAAATTTACCCTATTTAATTGTAATTGGGTATAAATAAATTTATAAACTTTATATATAAATTTCTCATTGGTTTCCAAAACTTGAATATATATGTTATAAACTGTTCTAATTTTCATATTACGCGCAGTAACTACATAAATTATTTTGCATCTGTATAGTGTTTAAGTATAACTTTTTTTATATTGATGGTTACATTAGCTTATTTTATAAGTAGAAAAACTCTTACAAGATAGATGTCAATGGAAAAACTTACATTTTATAAGTATAATTGCTCAGGTAAATTTATTATTTATTTCAATTTATACTTTGAAAATTATTTAATTTTTTTTCAGATTGGCTCTTCTGAAGAAAAAAAATTTCACTTACTCTTTCTGGGTGGCTTCTTTGGATCAGAGGGTGTCGGAAGCGAAATGGTACTCAATACTGCAGAACATTTAATGGCTGCATTTGAAATTGGAGAGCATAAACATATACAAATTTTGAGAAATGCTGTTGTGCATGTCATACCAGTTTTGGATGATAATTTCGATTCAATAATTCAAAATTATCGGTAAATATCTGATTGATTTTTGATTACATCTGAAAAAAATGTGTGTGATCTACAATATGGAAATTGCATATAATAGCAATTGCTCAATGTCGTAAATACATTCATTAAAATTACAAAACAAATACTTTGTGCATTTATAGACTTCATGAAGATGTCTGTAATCCAGAAAGCTTCAAGCAAGAATTTGGTGAGAGAATGATTGCCTCAAATGCGGATAAACTTGTTACTGCTTTCAAAAAATTATTATGGTTCGGTAGATATGACTTTATCCTGAATTTTGGCAGTGGAGGTTGTGGATTGAGGTAATTTTAAAGCAATCTATTATTAGTTACAAATTTAATTAATTGCTTATTATTCATTAAATTTTTGGTTGCTATTAATGTATAGTTTTTATCTTTAGAATCCGGCAATCTTTTGTGTTTGGATTAATTAACTAGATTATTAAAAAAATTCTTTATTGTCTATCTAATTATAATAAGAAAATTTAAAATACATGAATTGATACTTTTATAAGCTGATAGCTATATGGTATTAAATACTGAATTGAATTTATTATTTTTCAGCTATCCGAGGGTAAATGATTCAGGATTTATATATGACAAATTATTAAACAATATGCACAATCTCATAAACTCCACGACATCTCATGAAACCTGTTGTAATAATCAAGGCAATCAAAATCATGCTGAAATTACAGAAAGATTAACAAATCTCATGTATAACGAATACAATGTACCAATTGTTACTGTAAGAAATAGTTGCTGCAAGATGCCCAGGCAAGAGCAACTTGCAAATGTGTGGAGAAATTCTCTAAAACCACTCATGTCATTTCTGGAATTAATAGAGACTGGTATTCAAGGTGCAATTCTTGGCAACACCATGAATCCACTGCGTCATGCTGTTGTTACTTTAAAACAATTCAACAGGACATTCAATGTTACTAGAAATTTAGCTTATTACAAGATTATGTTGCCTGTCGGTGCATATAACGTGACATTCTCTGCTAATGGTTTTGTTAATAAAAAACTTCTACTTAAAGTCAAGAAAGGGAAATTATTATACACAGATATTGTTTTAGAGAGTATAGATACTGCTAGACATTCTGAAGTAACTTTGGAATTAGTGCAAGAAAATAGCAGGAGTATAGATGTCAATGTTACTGATAACATTTCTGGTAAGATAATTGTTTTATATTTTGTATGTTTCATTACATTATTTTTATTGTCTATAACCATATTTCCCAAGTTTGCTAAATTTTAATAATCTTACGATTGCTTACTAAATATTTCGAGACTTTCAGTACATAAATTAATTTTAAACATCGACTTTATTATATAGTTCTTGGAAAATTTATAATTTGCTATATACAATAATCAAGAAAATGAGAACTTGGACAGATGCTAGCAACTGTGATATAGAATGAATATTTTTTATTGCATAGTAATATATAAAAATAATAAATAAAAATACTTTACCAAATTTTCAATAATGTTTATACAATATTGCATATAATTGGTATTTATTCTATGATTTTGAGATATGAAAATAGATCATTATGTAATTTTACTTTTAAAATAAATGAAACTAAGCATTGAAAAAAGTTTAGTTTACTTTTCAGCATTAAGATATTTGTTATAGAAAATCAAATAAGTCATATTATTGTTGTAAAGTTAAAAATATCTATTCACTTAACAAATATCGAATTGTACATTTTCCTCAAATTATATTTGAAAAATTGTTGATAAATACTCATCTCACTTTTCGAGAAGTATAATGAAATAAATAATTCATTAATCAAAAATGTTGTTTGATAAAAAAGAAAAGTAAAGAAATTGAAGACGAAAAAGATTGAAGAGATATTTAAAAATATTTTAAATATGAGACTTATGTTAATGTATAATGAAATAGACATAATTGATATGTATATATAAAATATGAAAATTGTTTCATAATCTCTTATACCAAGCACCTCTGCCTGAATGAATTATGAAAATAATATATCAATAAAAAAAAATTATATGGAAAGTTTTGCAATTTGAAGAGAAAAAAAATCCTGCAAAACTTTACAAAAACAATGAAAAAGGCGGATCTGTTCAGGGAGTACCGTCGTAAAACCGTAACTAATGTAACGAGTATTCGAACCTGGAATTATTATTATTCGACGTGCTATCTGTCGGATAATTTCATAACTTGTTAATTCTGTTTCTTTAATTTTATCGAGTGAGTACGCACGATCACGATCACGATTATGTGATACTAATGTCAAATACTTAGTTTATAAAAATGGGAACAAAAATTCCACATCAAAGTAAAAAAAACATATCACAAGTGGATAAGTTAGTGCGTGTTGGTTATTATGAATTAGAAAAAACAATAGGAAAAGGGAATTTTGCTGTTGTCAAACTGGCTACACACGTAGTGACAAAGACCAAGGTTAGTTTCTAGTTTTTAAAGCCGAGGGATGCTTTACGACTGCTTCTTTTATATTAATTTTAATTACATCAATTTTATAGTAAAATTGTATATACATAATTGTAAACAAGAAACCATCCACATTAATAACGCCGGTGACAATATGATCATTATAACTAATGATAATAAAAAAAAAGTCGCTCTAGGTCTAGATCTTTCCACACTAAAGTATATATGATATAAAATTAAAATTTGACATTGAATGTTGATAATTATGTTTTCACGCTTGTCGAAATTTCATAACAGCAGTGAAATAGAAACCAGTCAGCTGAGTATTCATTTTATAACGCGTATTGTACATAAATATTTTGTAGCATGTAGACGTCAACGCGCAAACAAATCAGTGATTAAGTTACTGTTCGCGATTAGAGTTACATTATAATTAATTATATATTAATTAATTATATAGATAATTTGATATTTAATTATAACATAAGGTGAAAACTTGCCAAATCGATTAGTTTATCCGCATATCTTCAAAAATTTCGGAACTATTTTACAGTACTTTAAGATAGATAATATAATCTACTTATTCATTGTTTTTAGTCTCTTACCTTCGAATCGAGTCAAAAAGCGTATTTGTAAATTTTTTTTAAAGAAAATCTTCTGCTCTTTCGTTTCAATCATATAATACTATATTATTATGTCAGCATATTTAATAAAAAATCAGTTAAGTTACAGGTTATGTGATTCGAGTTGCATTATAATTGAATGATGATCTGATATTTATGTATGCTATAAGGTAGAAACTTATTTTAAATAAATAAAATTTTGAATTTTTACTTTTATAATTAATGGTGTACAATTTTGTACTTACACTGTTTTTAGTTTCTTAGTCAAAGCTTATTTGTATTTGTATTAAAACATTTATTCAGTTGTTGACAGAAAATTTGATAGAAATTTGAAACTATTCTAATGAAACAAAATTTAGAAAAAGTATGCGTGTACATGGCTGTATATGTACATCGATCTCAGAACTTTAAAAGACATTGCATGAAACTCGATGAGAACTCAGGTTGAGATATTGCTAGATTTTTAAATATGATAAATCACATGTCAAAATACTGTTTGGAACGAATCCATCCACTGGTCCATCCACAAAAATAGCGCACGTTCGATGCCCTAATCACACAAGGCTTGTTTTGTTGCTTTTTTGGTCTGCTGGCTAGCATGCTGGTTGTCATGTCGAACCAATTAGGGAGGCAGTATTTGGTCGTTTGATTTAAAATCTAGCAAGCCAAAACAAATCACACTCAAATTATAGTTATTATAATGTTATTGTAATTTTTGTTGCTAATATCATGCTTAAAATTAAATCTTATGTTTAATTATAAGCAATATTCGAATTACAGCAAAATTTTAGCAAATGATTAGAAGTCCTTTAAGTGAAAGGCTATATAAGTTAACATGTATGTATAGACATATTTTTCTTGTCTCCATATTCAGTTTTGTGGCATTAAAATAAAAATTCATGTGTAGATATAAAAAATAATTGTGTGGCGTTAAGTTTAACCGGTGAGAAGTAATTTGTAACACACACAAAATATTTTTATTATTTTGTAGGTAGCAATTAAAATTATAGACAAGGCATGTCTTGATGAAGAAAATTTAACTAAAACATTTCGAGAGATTTCGATATTGAAGCGACTTAAGCATCCAAACATAACCAGATTATACCAAGTAATGGAAACAAATAATATGATATATCTCGTAACCGAATATGCAGCTAAAGGAGAAGTTTTTGGTTTGTATATAATATTTTCTTTAATTATAAGAATTTGGAATAAATTAAACATTTTTGCATTATTCTGCAGATTATTTAGTTAGCAATGGGAGAATGAAAGAGGCAGAATCTTGTAGGATATTTCGACAAATTGTTTCAGCAGTAAAGTATTGCCATTCAAAGAATATAGTACATAGGGATCTTAAAGCTGAGAATGTTTTGCTTGATGCAAATATGAATATCAAGGTTTGTAAATAACTTTTGATTATTTCAAAGTTATGTAGTAACTTGTAAACTTGATCTTGTTCGGTATTTGCTATTATTCTTAATTCCATACTAGTTGTATGTCGTTTATCGCAGTTGGCCGACTTTGGCTTCAGTAACACATTTACCGAAGGAAATTTACTATCAACCTGGTGCGGGTCGCCGCCTTATGCTGCTCCAGAGTTATTTCAAGGTTTGGAGTACGATGGACCGAAGGCCGACATATGGGTGAATTAATAATGATTTTATCATTATTTTAGTTTATGTTTGAATATCTACATTTGAATGATTTATTGTAACTAATAACAGAGCCTGGGCATCGTTCTATATGTGCTGGTGTGTGGCGCTTTGCCATTCGACGGGAAAACACTTCAGGAATTACGGACAGCGGTCATCAGTGGCAAAGTTCGGATACCTTATTTTATGTCACAAGGTAATTTTACCGAATAATAGATTGAAATGCAATATCATTAAAATTTATTATTAACAACTTTCACAAACATGCTGAATGTTATCATTTTTTTTGTCATGTTTATTTAAACTAATTCAGAATCAAGTGGCATTTTGTCTTAAGCAAGTTAGACTTCTCGATACATATAAATAACCGACTTAATTAATAAGAAGTGAGATTTAGTTGTTTAGATTAAATTTTCATTATTTACTAGTTTTTGACTTCTATTATCTTTTAGAACACTAACTCTAAACACATGCATACTTTATTAAAAAACGCCAAAAAATTGTTTATATCTATACTACGAAGAAACTACCCGACCGATCTTTTCTAAAAATTAATCAACTCTATCCATAGCTTATATTTTTCAAATGGCTTTAAAGTTTTCAAAACTGGTCCAAGATTTATTACGAAATGGTGTATGAAATTTTTTGCACTTAACTCGTACAAACTGTGTTTGAAAACTTACAAAGCGAGATCCTATGGGTTTTCATTGAATGACTTTTACATTACAATATTAGTTCAGTGCGCCGACAAAGGGTTAAATTTATCTTACATACACACAAACACATATACGTATTTTTTTCAATTTTGGCCTCAAACCACTTATAATGACATAAAATATATGTATATATTGTCATTATCAATTATATATCAACTGTTGTTCTTAGAACTAAAATTCTTATATTGTTTGAGTTTCTCTATTTTAGAATGTGAACATTTAATCCGACACATGCTGGTGGTAGATCCTGATAAACGAATGTCCTTAGAACATGCAAGTCATTTATAAAATAATTTTAGATGTGTTTCTGATTTGTTTTTAAGTGTCATATTTTTGTTTTATAGGTATTGCAACATAAATGGATGATGCAAAATATGCAAATAAATAATTGCAACACACATAAACTGAATATATTGAACAATCCTAGTGAAAGTGATAAGAATAATGAAATACTTGATAATGTGGTTTTAAGGCATATGTTGCAACTTCCAGGAATATCACAAGAAATGATTGTAAAGGTATTTATATGACAATAAAATTTAGTTGAAAGTATTTTTGTCTAAATAATAATTGAATTACGATTTCTTTCTACTCATTATAATTTATTTATTAGATTCAAATTATTTCCAATTTCTATAATTTTACTTACTTGATCTACAATTTTAATAATAAAATTTTATAAAATATGATTTAAACATTTTAATTATAGTAGGAAGCTGAACTTGAGTTTATATTTCAGGCTGTTTACGAAAAACAATTTGACCATATATATGCAATATACAATTTGCTTGTCGATAAATTACAACAGAAGCGTTTAGAACAAAGAAGAAATGTGCAAGAAGCAATAACAAGTGCACCGCCCAGTCCCAGTAACAGACTGGAGTTACTTCAGTCTGGTGATATTTCACAAACTCATTCTTTTTCAAATTATGACATAGCCATTCAGACTGATAGACCTAGTTCTCTTGAGCATATTTTGAAAGCTGAAATAATGAAAGAAACGGCACATCATGTAAACAATAATGAGAATGAGGATAATAGGGATGTAGTAATTCGGGGCATGGGCGATGAATTGAGTGGTTGTCATGGTTCTAGCGGCGATAGTGGTTTAAGTACACCAGGGTTCAATTCACCATTCGTATCAATGCCAACTATTTCAGACGCTTATCTTATGACTGGAGACTCTTTTCAGAATTTAGAAAAGGTACAACTTATTTATAATAATATTATTTCTTTAAGATAAATATCTACTAATGTTTTGAATATAAGTTTCATTAATTGTCCTGTAACTAGTAGAAGTCAAGTGGGCCATATATTTGCAGAATATTCTTGTTTTGTATATTTCTATTAATATTTATTATTATTATTATTATATATATATATATATATATATATATATATATATATATATATATATAATTTCTTTTTCTTAAGTAGTAATACACATTAAATGTATTGAATTATATTTTCTTTTTCATTTTTATTTAAATGATCTTGAAAACTGTTTGGGTAGACCTATTTTCTAATAGAACGTACGCGCTTGAAGAAAAACTTGAATAAGTTATCTTCTGCACAGTTTTATCACATTTCGCGACCCATTGTACGGCGATATTACTATTTTTAAATTAGATTAATTTTGCTTTTAATACTGATTTTACTATATTCCTTATTTTATTAGTGTTTTGCACAACTCTCAAATCGTATTGGCGAATCCTTTTGGAATATGTATCATGTTATATGGAGGTACCTAGTATTACACATATAAAATGTTGAAACATATAAATATAGTATTGAATATTAATTTCATTATTTAATTTAGCGAATTTTTTGATTTATGCATCAAATATGTTTTAATGTTGACAAAACAATCTATATGTATATATATATATATATAAATATATATATATATATATATATATATATATATATATATAATATGAATTATTTTACATCATCTATCACATACTCTTAGTTTGGTGATAAAGAATTGGAGCCCCCAAGTCCGCCTCGTGTTAGCATCACACCACCCATCTATAATGCCCGCAGACATACAGTTGGACCTGGAGATCAAGCGCACCAACAGGTCAGTCATTATTGATAACATTGTTATATTATGTATTGCTAATATCATCATCATTTCCATATTTAGTAGTAAATAATAATCAATTTGGATCAGGGAAATAATGCATTTGAAATGAGACTGGTTTCGTTACTTTTCCTCTGTTACCTAATACATTGTTAACTTTCTATAAATTTGCATTAAACATTTTTTGTGACAATTTTATCAATTTTCAAATGGAAGTCCGAAATACTCGAAAATAATTAAGAGCTCAAATAGTCATAATGATAGGAATATCTATAATTATTTCAAGCTCTCAAGAAATATTTATTATAAATAATTTTTAAGGTTTTGGATGCGCATTCTATCCCTACCGGCTTTTATCGAAATACACCTGGAACTATTCACACGAACACTATAAATTTACCTTCTCTTTTGAATCAACTGGTTACAAACTTCACCATTAAAGACCAACATCTTCTCAAACCCCCAACTGCTATGGAAACAAGTGAGGAAACTTAAATTTATTCCATTTGATTGTATGAATGGTAACTAATAGAAATGAATGGTAAATGAAATGTTACAGCTACCAACTTTGGTCGCAGAGCTAGCGATGGAGGTGTGAATCTACACATGTTTAATCAACATTCTGGGGCTAGTTCTATAAGTTCTGGGCTTCAAGAAATTTCACCTACACATCATATAGCTGGTTGTCAACCTATTTTGTCCAATCTAGAGTTCTCACAAGCTGAACCTCATGTAGGATCTACATCGAGAGCTGATTTGATGATGCCAGCGCTGGATGATACCAATGATGTCCAGGAAACAGTTTCTGGGTATTGAAAATTTATTAAATGTAAAAGTTTTAATTTAAATTCTATTATTAATAATAATAATAATAATAATAATATATATATATATATATATATATATATATATATATATATGTTTAGTGCAGTTGCAATGACCATTTCAATTTCTTCACAGTATTTGTATCCAACACTAATAGTAGTATTTTAATAGTATTCAATATATTAGTATCTTGATTTTAGTTATTAACATTTTTGTTCTATTTTGATAGTTCCTGTAGGTTATTTCACAATCGTCGCCATACAATGGGTTGTACAGAAGAACTTACCGTTCACAACAGATGCAGAAGTCCGGTGAGCAGCACATCCACTCCCGCCACTACTCGAACTAGGCGAACTGGTTTACTTACAGTCATGGAGCGACCGCCAGGTGATTTTTTAAATTATTATAACTTGTTTGAGCTCTAGCTTTTTTAATTTATAACTCTGTTTAAGCGCATTTAGATATTTTTCTATAAGTGTTGTGCTCTTTATAACAGAAAGACTAAGAGTAATATATATATATATATATATATATATATATATATATATATATATATATATATATATATATATATATATATATATATATATATATAATCTATATATATATAGATCTATCTATATCTATATATCGATATATATCTATATCTATATATCTATATCTTATATATATATATATATATATATATATATATAATAAATATTTTGAATGTTTTTTGTTTTCTGTAGTTTGAAATTCAGTAAAAGAACTTGTTTGCATTTGAACTTGAGGGTATATATATATATATATATATATATATATATATATATATATATTACATAAAGACCAGATTTTGAAATGGATTACCAAAATAATCATGCAAATGATGTTTTCCAAGTATCATAATCATAACAAGTTTTTTGATTTATTTTGTGTTGTGTTGTTTAATATAATTCTTGCCACTTCTGGCCAATTCTACACGGTATATATTATAATTTTCATGAGTTAGTAATTATTTTAGATTTTTTTTTTATTTGTGTGCTGTTATGTTGTGTTGCTTATGTACATAGAAATAAGTCCAGAGCTTTTGCAAGAAGTAGAGGCACGCATGCGCAAAGCACCAGGTCGAAGAACTACAAGTAGAGCATGTCGATTGCCCACTGTACAGGAAATAGGTTAGTTTGTTTTCTTTATTTTATTCATTCTTATCGAATTAATTAATATTATTTACAGTTTTATTTGAGTATTAGATCTATATATTTTGTATATGAATAGACTAAAAAGACTAAGGAAAATAAAAATAATCTTTTCATTCCTATTAGACTATACTTTTGCTTGTTTTGTATTAATTTTATAAATGTACAAGTACATTATTGTCACTTCAATCGTGACTTCAAGTATCATGTACTTTGATCAATGGATAGAAAGGAGTTTTGTCTTTAGGATCTTTAAGATCTACACTTGCGTCGGTATGTAAATCAATTTATATTACTTAGTTTATTGAATTTTAAATGTGGCTTTGCAAGCATCTATTAAAATCGTCGTTTTTTCGTGAAATATGATATGATATCATGTATAAGCTGAAAAGTCTTATAATTGTCTATATATTGCAAAATCAGGTCGCGAGCAGCGTGAAAGATATAGCCCTGTAAGAAGAGGTTCGGAAGGATCACACGTCAGCAGAACAGCTCATCAGGAATGCCAAATTCTCCAGGTAATAAATATTTTACATTTACGAAATTTCCTTCTCAGACTTTCTGAATTTACGTTCATAAAGCATCAAGGTGAAATAATATATACTTAACTAATATTCACAATAAGCCTCGTGCATTTCTTCTATTTTTACAATATTAAACTTAAAATATTAACTAATCATTTGAAACAATAATTTTAGCGGGGACTAGATAGGCAGCGACACAATCCAGTTGCAAATAATCCACTTATGTTTGAACATCCAGGTCCTCCGAGTCCCAATTCTGTTCCAAGTAAGATAGCTTACAGTATTGGATATTTTTAGGTTTAAAATTATCATTTTTATAGTTTTGACTCGATTTAAGTAGTGACATAATCTCTTGATCATATCTTCTGATAATCAAATTTTTTTATATTCATGTTTATTTAATAAAAAAAATATTGTTTTTGTTCTTATATTAGGTTCACCAAAACATTATTTGAACAACACTTCGGAAACAATATTTACAAGTGACTCATATGAAATAGATTTGGATGTTGATAACATAAATATTCTCACTCCTCTGCTTGAACAAATGGTGCTAGAAAATAAAATAGAAGTTGAACTAGCCACAAATATTTTTGGAAGTAGAAAAATACGGTACGATTTAGCAAGCAAGTTGGGATTGCTGCCGCACATTCATAGTAAAAGTCTTCTATTGCACAAAAATTATCCCATGTTTATGCCAGTTAAGAACATGCCTAACTTAATTGGATGTTTTAATGCTCAAAATTCTCATAATGCTTTTGGTCTTCAACAACAGTTTCAAAGCAGTTATTCAGGCCAAACTTCGCCTGCTTGTTATGGCAGCTATAGCGGTCAGAATTCACCAAGATTGTCAAATTCTCCAGTTTATAATATCAGTTCAAATCTGTCTCAGGGCCAGGTATCACCCTTGCATCAAATAACTAAGGGTATAAGTATTCTCAATACTACAGGCACCGGGACAATTATGAAAGGCATACCTGGTATGAAAAATTGTCTTGCTATGAATCAACCACTTGATCTCACTACTTCCAATTCAGATGCACATGATATGGCAGTGGATATTGCCATGAATCGTAACCATTTGGATGGTTCCTCCTCTGGCTCCATTTTTCCGAACTTAACTCTTAATTTAACATCACAAGGTGCTCAGGCGCGGATTAGTCCGAGCCCCCCGCCTTCTCCTTTAGTTCAAGGCTTAGATATTATTCGAGAAGAACAAGATAGTTTAAAAAGCAATAAAATGCTTTTCAATAAATCAATCAGTGAATATAGTCAAAATAATCCTCAAATTTTTTTGACAGATGTCTTAGGTAGTGAAATAACTTTAGTGGCATCAGCAGATAACAGCGAAGATAGTATGGATAGCTTGGAAAATGCTTTGAAAATTGGCATCAATCATCCATATGTTGTTGCCGAAGATTGTGCAAATGACTGTCCTTCAATAATGCGCGGGGTCGGGAGAAAAGCTAGCTTTGAATCTGATGCAAACAAAAGTATGCGAAACGATGAATGTTTGTCACAAGATAAATTTGAAGCTTATTCTCCACAAGTAAGTTATAAATCTTTAGGATTTAGCGATGATAGTATATCAAATGACTCAATTCTTTCAAACCAATCTCCCACTTGTGAGAATGGTTTTTCACTTGGTTCAAATATCTGTAATATATTCTCACATAATTCGACCTCTGTTAGTTCCTGTGAACATTCAAATTATTCTTTATGTTCAGATAATTGTAATATTAAAAATGAGGAAATGCATACATTACATTTGAGGGATTCGCAGAACTTGCTTGATTTGTTAACACACGAGCAACTAAATGATAATAGGCATGTTTGTAACAGGGCATTGCCACAGGAGTATCTTGAAATAACCCTGTCCGATTTTATGTCCACTCAAAACCCAGATGATATACTTGAAATTGTTAAGCAAACAATTAATACGAAAGTACCACCAAAGTATTTAGTACACAAGAAATTTACAGAGCAATCTACTGACTCTGGGGTTTCGGATAATATTGCAGAGGGTATTTGTAATCTTAATTTAGAGTACTCTGGGGGCGTTCAAATAGAAGTCGTTTTATGTGAGAGCAAAACAAACTGTGCTAACAAAGGACTGAAAATGCGTAGAATATCAGGTGATCAATTTGAATATGGTAGGTTATGTCAACAACTCATCAAGTCATTAACAGTTAATTAGTTAATCATATTTTAAGAGATTTTTTATATATTTGCAAAACTGTTATAATTTACATTTGTACAATTGTACAGGCAAACACACAGATATATATATATATATATATATATATATATATATATATTAATTTTTTTTATGAATCGATAAGATAATGTTTAGTTATAAATTACTGCACGATTTTTCATAGAAGTCTTGTAAGTGTATAATAAAATTAATTTAGGAATTTTTGATGTCATAAAAATTCTGCTGCTTCTTAACTAGTTGTTTTAATTTGTATGCTCCTATCAAATAATGACTGAAAATTTCATTATGAATATGGTAATCATTCTGTAAGTAAGTAAGTTTACGTATGTTGTAAATACATGAAAGGTTTTGAAGCAATACATGGTTACGTCTACCCAAGCTGGTGGTACCTCATTTTTCACATATGTAATGTTAAATAAATGATATTTGATTCAAATATAGTTTGTAAAACTATTAAATATAGTAATTGTATATTTTAAGTTGTAAATAAATAAGTAATTTTATTAAAATATAAATTTATTTTATAATTTTATAGTGCTAGAACATATTAATTGCATTGTGAACACAAAAATGATCATTTTTTTAATATTGAATTTTTTTTTTACATGCATCTAAATATGTAAATTTATTTGTTAAGCATCCAGGTGAAAATAATGGATTCGAATCGAATTTGAGCATTTTAAATGGCTAAAATCCTATTATAATTTTTAATCGACTCTTTTGTCTGTATCTTAAGAGCAGTTTCTTTCGACTTGGCGATGCAGGATCTTTTTTTTATAATGCCAATCATAATCATATTGACCTTTATAATGTAGAAAATAGCAATACGTAATACGTAATATAATTTCTACACATTCTGCAAAAACTTATAAAAACTCTAAAATAAAGACTATAAAACAATACACTTAGATATACTTATATTATTAGTATTCATTATGTGTTTTTTTTTTATTAATTCACAATTCACGGGCTAATATCAGTGTCACCAACATAAAAAAATTAGCAGAACCAGCAATGTTATTTGAACACAGTGAGGTAGTTATCGAACATTTTTCTGTAGTCAGCGACAGAAACGCATTTTAAAATGGTGAACGGTTGGCGTTTAAAATTGTTATTGTGATTATCAATAAATAAAGGAGTGATTAGCAAGTGCTTAGCTGCAGATTTATTGATCAGTATGTATTAATTATTTAATTGAACTTTGTACGGTTGTGTGAAACATTGTTTGCGATAAAAATCACCCACTAGGTTAGAACTGGCACTTCCATGTTTTATTTACAAATGTCATGACGCGCGTCAAGCCGACGGACACTATCCCTACAGACACTTTCGGCCACGCCCAGGCCTATCGAGAGTGGGCGGGGTCAATATATAAAACTTAATTTTTTAGTGAAAATGATTAAAATATAATAATTTATTCAATTAAATCTCATTTATTTTGCATTTTCTATGTTTGACATAAAAATCCTTAACCTAAAATTAAGTTACAATTACATTTGTCATTATACATTAATACCAATCGACGTAATCGGGAGCATAATATTTGACATTGTGAGTGAATGGTTTTCAGGTTATGTTGAAACATTTCAATTTGCCATTGAAATAGTGAATATGTTCATTAATTATTGCATTGAAAAGTATGAAAAAGTGATTAGGAAAGCCCTTAAACAATACCAAAACGATTAATATAGTGAATGTTGTGTTTTTGCGCCAAATTAGTCATTAGAATCCTTATTAGAATACTAGGGTCCGTTCCAGTCCGTTCGTATTCCAGTGCTGCACACTTTTTGCATCTATTTGGTGAATTACTGAATTAGTGATGAATATAAATAAATAAATGTGAATATAAAGTAATGATCTTTTGTTTTTTATTAATTTGAAAAGGTTTTCAGCATAATATTCGGCATTGTGAGTGAATGGTTTTCGAGGTTATGTTGAAACATTTCAATTTGCCATTGAAATAGTGAATATGTTCATTAATTATTCTCTATAGTCCTTTAAAAAGAATTTCCAATAAGTCGCCCAGCGTTCCAAGAATGTATTTTTGTATTTTTCAGGAAATTGTATGTTTGATATTCGGTTTTCTATTAGTGCATATTTGGTTTTGTATAATGTTACTGATTTTGTAAAGAAACTAGTTACGTTTTTAAAGGAGTTATTAAATAACAAAAAATTACGATTGCTAGAACACCCATACACACTGAAGTTGGCTCCGGTGTTGACCATAACCTGTCAAAATTTCAGCAGTGTTGCTTTCTGCAAATGCACATGCATGCATGTTGCATGTTGGCATGTTGCATGCCTTGTACAATCTGTTCTGTCACTTCTGTCACTTTTGTCTAATGTCTAAGCCGCCGTCTAACCTACAACAAGTATTCGTAAATGTAAAATTATTATTTCTGTGTTCAACAAATTCTGTATATAATTTCTTCGCGTGTTTCTTTTTATACCATAAAGTTTGGTCCTTCATCACGGATAATATTAATAAAATCAGTGTTAATATATATAAAAGGACGACGATTTTTTCGCCGTGAAGAAAGTTGATAAAAAGTTTCATAAATGGTTGAAACTTAAAACTATTCACGCTAAAAACAAGAATGAATACGCTCAAGCTCAACAATAGAGCAGCAATATTTATTATTGGTGAATTGAGTGGATGCACGCAGATTTCATTTGAGAAGAAGTTAGGCGCACGAGGCTCCAGAGTTTGTCATCGCTGTTATTCGCGTTACTGGGGCTCATCTGAGAATTGGAGCACACCTGGCACAGAAGGCTATGTCGCACCTTATACAATAACAACACAAGACACTGTCATACAAGGGTTTGGAGCACCGGAGTGGCGTGAAAGCGGTATTTACGACAATTGTAACTTGTAAGGTAAGGTACAAATAGAATGAGTTAATTAAAGTACATGTTATTTAGCATATGTCACGTTTAAATGCTCTTACGAATATTAGTACCCCATTACTGTCTAGGTCGGTAGATTCAAATCCAGCATTAGATGTAAAGTTACCAGAGATCACGTTACCCGAGTTCAACGGTGATTATAGTGAGTGGACCCAATTTATTAGATCTTTATACCTTGTTAATTCACAATAACACAAAGTTGCTGCAAGTCCAAAAGTTGCACTCTCTAAAGGGAGCTCTACTATCGTCTGCTGCAAAACTAATATCATCTTTAAGCTTAACGAATGAGATTTACACTGAAGACGGCCTATGAGCTACTGTGTAAGACTTATGACATTAAATTTTAAATACTGAATTCCCATTTGCAGCAGATCGACAACATACCACAGATACACAAAGGAACAGGCACAAAGTGCAAGGCAACAAATACGTGCTCTTTCAACTGTATATGAACCAACTAAACATTAGGATCTTATTCTGTTGTATATGCTGAACAAGAAGGTTGACAGCCATACTCGCATGGCATGGCATGGAATTTGTCCAGGAATGGAAAGTTCTTCTAACGGTAAATCAATTTTTTTCCTTTCTGGAGCTGCGGGTTTGTGCCTTAGAGAACTCATTCAAATTAGAAAGTAGACCCATTCAGGAAAATTCTAAAATGGTTCATGTTAGTACAGTGAAGAGAGTAGTATCTCCGTGTTGTTGTTGTAAGGGAAGTCATCCATTGTACAAATGTTCCAAGTTTAAGGAGTTGGAGATTTCAGGGCGCAAGGATCTGGTGTTAAAGCATTCACTGTGCACTTGTTGTTTACTTCCTGAACATGATGCTAAGAGGTGTAGTTTTAAAGGTGCTTGCTATAGATGTAAAGAGCCCCACAACACTTTAATTCATGATGAAATAGTTCTTCGTCACCATCAACTAGCCAACTCAATTCTGGCAACAATATTCTTTTAGCTAAGCACAATAACATACAAACTTTTTTTTCCACAGTCTCTCGATATGAATGAATTTGATAGTTATATTTCTATTATTAGTATTATACTATTTTGCAGATTTTACCTGAAGCCAAGTACATTGAATTGTTACGCATTTGTATTTAGAAGACTATTGGAATCCTGAGAAGCGTATCAGAAATTTGAAGTTAAGGTAATTATACTATTATTTTGTTGTATGGTTTCATTTGGTTGTAGTTAATAAAATCATATAGATCTTAAAAATATTACACTTATTTCACAAATTTTGTAAATATGTATTATTTAAAGAAATTGGGATTGATTTGATTATTGTTTTACATTATATTTAGTACATTTATTCACTGAACAACCTGTGTCTCTTCAGCACATCAGGCTACTGGCAATTTATATGCATTTGGATTGAGTATTTGTGAATAAAAATTAATTTGATCTATTATATTGATTTATAATAATTATTATTTCTTTCAGATGTTTGTCCAATTGGCGTCATGTTAATACTTTAAACCTCTTTGGAGTCTTGCAAACTGATATTTGTTCAAATTTCAATTGCTGTAGTGTTTATTAGAAAATAGTATTATTACAATGTCAAAGTTTTGTGTGTGAAGTGATTTTTGTGATACATTCCAAGGAGTTTTCATTATCGGAGTATGGATGCTGACTTCCAGCTAATCAAGAATGATTGTAAGGCGCTGTGGTAAGTGATATTTATTTAAATGGCATGCTCATATATAATACGATCACACTAAATTCGCGGAAATATGATTGATTTCAAGCAGTGAAGCCAATAACACGTATTTATTTCAATTTAATCATGTTTACGCTATTGTCTTATAATGTTATTTATAGCTGATAACATTGGCATATTTCCATTACATGTAAATGATTCCTAATTTCTCTAAAAGTTTTCACACTTTTATTAAGTTAGTTTCATACAAATTAGTTTTCTTTTATGAATTTGTTAAGGAATTCGCGATTTAGCCTTTTATTTTGATGCTTTCTTGCAAATTGGTTTCTTTTTATGAATTAGTTAAATGTTTTAAATATCTGTACGCCTTTTCTATTCATTCAGTATTTGTTTATTTCACAATAATATTACTGAGTAGTTATTAATTAAACAATAGACCCAATATTAGTATTTGCTTCGATTAAATTGTTTTCAAATTTTATATTAGA